TTTTTCATTTGTAAGTAAGAAGTTTCAGATTCGATTCTTACCAAGACAAATTTAAACCACATTATTACTAAACACTATGAGACTGAGCCACTCACTTCTGTTAACAAAAAAAAGTTAGATATGAGTTTTTGTTGTTAAAAAATCTTATTAATTAATTATAAATTTGATTAAATTGAAGAAATTATGAGTGGAAGGGAAAGACTTGGAAGCCGAATCGTACGCCGCGAGAAAGTGCTTTTATACGCGGGAATGTTTGCTGTGGGAAGGAAAACGCGGTACCACTTGCCAAACTTCTACTCGCTCGTCTAGCTTTACACTTCTACTCGCCTTACCTTGCCAACAAGTATCATTCTCTTTTCTGTTTTCTCAGAATTAAAAGAAACGTGCATAAAGAATTCGATTATTTAAGGGATAGAAATAATTTATTATTTAAGGAAAGAAAGAATTCCATTTAGAAAGGGAATTATTATTAAAAGGAAGTCGAAAAAAAATTTGGCATTTTAGTCCAAAAAATTAAGTTAGTTGCTATAAAACTATATATTTTAACTGATACAAAATTAATTGAGAATTCACGTGTTACCGTTTTATTTTAATATAACGATATTTTAATGTTCGGAATAAGGGGCAACACCACATGTCCTTAAACAATTAGAGGACATTGGGGAAAAAAAAAAAAAAAACTTTCCTCTAATTGTTTAATAACATGTGGTGTTCTGTCGTCCTGTGTTTTGAAAACATTGAAAATCTTTCTAGTTGACCAACCATAATTGATTATTGAGTTCACCATCTATAAAAATCGAACCTAAGAATAAGTGGTAGGGATTTGAGCAATCATAAACTATAGTACAAATGAAGCAAAGAAGTAATTATATTTTTGTTGGTAAGAAGTGTGAATAATGTAATTTTTTGTATCATAATTTTAGTTTGATATAAAGGAGTGAACTTGAACAAATATCACATGCTTAATAAACAAGTTAGCCAATGAATGACATGGGATCATCTTATCTACATTAACATTGAAATTGAAAACTTCATTAAGTTGGGATGACATGAAATTCTCTAAACAAAACAATTACTAATAGTTATTTAGCACTATGATCTAGTCATACACATATACATATTCAATTATAAATAAAATGTCTTAAATTTAACTTCCGTGGATGACAAGATCCACACAAAACTATTATGGTTATCATTGTCTACTTAGCTCAAATTCTCCACCCTTTAATGTAAACATATCATTTTATTTATAAAAAAACGAATACAAAACAAAAGGTATTACATGAATTCCAATTGGGCATGAACCATCCTATGTATAACTTTTTTTTTGTTTATCGAAACATTAAGGTAAACCAACTAATGATTTTAATTTGTTTTGATTATCAAATATGTGAAATCATTATCATATCTAGTGGTTTGAGACGAATTCCAAACACATGTTTCACATGCTATTTCCCGAGTTTGATTCTTAGCGCATGTGAATACACGATGGTTGTTAAAAGATGCTGAAATGCTTATGTGAGTCTTTTCGATCTCAAAAAAAAATGAACTGCCGAAACCAACTAATCCCTTTGCATAAATGATTATTATATCCACTCGTGGTTTTTTAATCATGGCCAACAAACACATGCCATCATTTTCGCGTTAATGCAACTTTTTAATCATGGCCTCCCCACTTCCAAATTCGACTTGTGCAATCACTTCTTGACCCAAAAATCAATCAGAGTGCTTGCTTGGAATCTATTTGGATTTTTTTTAGATGCGATATTTGTTTACACTAATTTACATTAAAGAGAAGAAAAAGAATTGAAAAGAATAACCCTAACTACTAAATCAGTCTACCACCATTCAAATCTGGTGCAGGTGCCATAACTTCATCGTTTACATCTTCAGTTGAATATCAGAGTGCGCAACGAACGAAACTAACAAAATAATAAGAATATTAGTAAACAAACGAGAATGCCGAAACGACTACAAAACCCTAATAGGCTACATTGTGACTAGCTTTTTTTCTAATGAATAACAAAGCACTCTATTTATAATAAACTAACCCTAACCCTAATGCTAACATGCTATACCCAAACTAAACTTATAAGAAAACTCAAACAAAATAATACCTAAAATACTAATATATTCCAACACCCCCCATCCAACTCATGGCGGTATACGACATGAGTTTGCAAACAAGCAGATGCGGACTGAATCCATTAGGCGGACTGGCAGACATGCAAACTTGACTTGACTTGATTCTTGACTTGACTGGCAAGCTGGTTCTGGTTCAAACTGGCTAGTGTTGAGAGTATGGAGAGAACCCGTCACTAAACGAACGAGATTTCCATATTTCAATTGTACCAACAAACGAACAACGTCAAAAATATTCTAGCAACTCAAGAATTCATTGCGAACGGCAACAACAGATACCCAAACTTCAAAACAAAGACCTCATAATAGGATAACCATTTTTGTTTTGTTTAAACTAACAACAAACAATTGTTTTTCTTTTTCCTTCTCTTTTTGCTTTTTTTTCTAGCATTTCCTTCCTTCCCATTTTTTTTTTCTTTCATGCGAACAAACAGCAGAACCTTTTTTTTTCTTTTTTTTTTCTTCTGTGCAAACAAACAGCAGCAGCAAGATCCTTTCTATTTTCCTTTTTTTTTCTTGCAAACAATCAATACCAACTAACAAATCTAAAACGAAAACACAAACAACGGAAGATGACGGAAACAAAACTGATACAAACAAATTGATACCAACGAGAACGGATTGAACCCTAAGGATCGAACCCGCTCTGATACCAAGTTGAATATCAGAGTGCGCAACGAACGAAACTAACAAAATAATAAGAATATTATTAAACAAACGAGAATGCTGGAAAGACTACAAAACTCTAATAGGCTACATTGTGACTAGCTTTTTTTTCTAATGAATAACAGAGCACTCTATTTATAATAAACTAACCCTAACCCTAATGCTAACAGGCTATACCCAAACTAAACTTATAAGAAAACTCAAACAAAATAATACCTAAAATACTAATATATTCCAACACCCCCACCATCATCGCTTAACTCAATGAACACAGTTTTGGATGCGCTTGCATTTTTCAAATGCTGCTCTTCTTTAATTGTAACTAAGTAAGAGTTTTTGAGTTCAAATTTTGAAGATAACGAGTTCATAACTAATTTGTTATCAACTCTTTAAACAAGGATGACCTCCCTTGTTCTCTAACCTAGTTTTATTTTTTTGAATGAGATTAAGGTGACTTGGGGTAGGTTCCGAGTCTTAGCTTTCTACCTTTCTCTCGTTGTGTTGATGTTGGTTGGTTTATGGTGGTCTTATGTAACTCTTTGGCTTCGGCCCTGATAATGCTATTTTTCAGTTTCTCAAAAAGAAAAAAAAAAGATATTGTTTAGAGATATCATTCCAATCCAACTCCTAATTTGGGTGGATATATTTATTAATTAAATAAATAAATCTAACACGTGCCAATAAAATGACTAAGAGAGAAACGAACACATATCCTTGTATTGAGAAATACTAAGGGGACTCTCTCAAAGTGGATTCTCTGCCACCTCACAATTTAACGTCAATTCCCATGTTAACATCATAAAACATTATGTTAAAAACATGAGGTACATAAAATTCATGGAGAGTTACACTTTTGAAAGTCTCCTTAGCATTTCTCTCATGTACTATTAGTTGAAAATAAAAGGTTTAGGATAAATAAAAAATCTCTACAATCTCACATTTCTCAAAATACTACTTCAATAATTTTATTTATTCTTCTCCATAAGGAGGTATTTATAAGATTACAAAGGAGCAATACTAGAAAATAAATCAAAATAATCCTTTGTCTACAAGACAAGAAAACCTAGACCAAATCAAGTCATATCAAAACCTTAATTAAATCATATAAAATCACTAATTAAATCAAATCCTAAAATACTTTCCCTTTTATTTTCCAACACTATTGATACTAAACACTATCAAAAAGGCATAATCGTATAATCGTATCATACAAATTATTCTCGTTCTTTACACTAGAGACTGACCAATTTTCTTCTTGTACAACGCAACATGCATGCTCTTTTTATATGTGCAAGGAATTTCTTAAAATTCGGATAAACAATCAACCGGACTGATCCATAATCCAGTTTGATTATTATTTTTTTTAAGAGGAAAAGGAAATGATCCATATAATCCAGAAAACTTAACAATCTCCAGCCATTTCGGCTGGGAGGGCATTTCTGAATGACCCTTCTCTTTGACAAGTTTCCGACTCCTCCAAAAAATAAAACTTGGACAAAAAGTTAGCTCTGATCGTGTGTGTATATATATACACACACGTCAAAACGCAAAAAAAGCACCTGGAACTACATCGAGTAAAAACCTCTTCTTCCAGATATTCGCCAATTTGCTTGCTTCCATGCCTCGCCGAAGCTCACGAAGTCGATCTGCCCGCGCAGCTCCCCGTCGTCATGCACCAGCACGCAACCCTCCCCCTCAGCCTTGTACGTACTTGTGAAACATATATTATCGGACGTGTTTCAAACTGCTTCTTTCAAAAGCACTTCTGCTCATAAACGCTTTTATTAAAAGCACATTGAAATTTTGCTTCCTAGAAAGCATTTGAAGTACTTTTCTAGAACTCAAAAGCACTTTTTAACTTTTTTTGTCAAACCTGATTAGAAGCGCTTCCAATAAAAGCACTTTATAGAGATGTATCTCCAAACGAATTTCTTCAAGTAATGAAGGAAGCCAATTTCTTCAAGTAATGAAGGAAGCGAGGTTCATCATAATTCATAGAAGTGCCACACATATCATATCAAAATCCTTCCTATATCATCTCACTCATGCATAACTGCAAAAAGTTTTCTAAATAGTTTTACATCCATAATCAAGACTTTCAAGTAATCCTCTAAAAGCGGTTTTAGTCATTTTAAAAGTACATCAGAACCGGCTGATGCAATGTTCTCCTTTCCACCTATAATTGGATTGTTATGTGTTGCCATGCAGTTTATGAAGCTCGTTGCTCTCCATCTCCAGCTCCAGCTCCGACTGGCCGTGGTGGATCTATGTTTTCAGGATTTGTTCAGGGTACGTAAGTACGTGGATAGATAATGTTTTTGTTCGTTTGGTTGCTTATAATTATTGTACATTATAAAATACAATAATTCGAATTGGTCTTGTTGCATGCAGGTATGGCTGTGGGGATTGGAGATGCCGTGGCACACAGGGCTGTGGATGCTTTGATGGGTCCTCGCCGCGTCACTATTCGAAATGAAGCTGCCGCTGCTGCTTCTCCTACTCCTGCGGTTCCTGCTCGTCCTGCTGCTGCACCAGTACTAGAAACCATGGCTAGCACTAGCAGTATCAGTGGTTCAGATGCCTGCAGTAATCACTCCAAGGCATTTCAAGATGTATGCAATCCTTTTCCTTTTATTATTTTCCCCAAGATTTATTGTGAAAGTCAGGGACTGTTTGATAATCATTTCGTTTTCACTTTTTTTTTGAACCTGAAAACTACTTATACGATGACCTTTGGGTTTTTTATTGTGAAAGTCAGGGACTGTTTGATAATCATTTCGTTTTCACTTTTTTTTTTTTTTTTTTTTTTTTTTTTTGAACCTGAAAACTACTTATACGATGACCTTTGGGTTTTTTTTGGGAAAATTATTATATGAACACCTTTGTGCAGTGCATCGACGAGTTTGTAAGTGATATCAGCAAGTGTCAGTGGTACATGGATAAGCTGTACGAGTGCAAGAACAACTCCGGCATGTTGAGTGCTTAACTAAGCACTGCTTCCTGTGCCTGTCAAGATAGTGAATTAGTGGTCTATTTTTGGGGGAAGGATTTCTTTAAATAAATCTTCATATAAGTAGTAGTACCTCTTCTTATTTGAACTTGATCGAACGATGCTTGTTTCGTGTATTCATGCTCATAAATAATGATTTTTGTAACTATTTGCTGGATATATAGTGGAAGAGTTTGAGCATATGATATACTCACATATCAACTGTTAACACTGAGTTCAATAACAGTTTAAGTTTGGCGATTAAGTTTTTTTATACCGGTTCCTTGAACTGTTTTCGACTATGAAGGGAGACTGGATGGACTTATTTGTGAAGAGCCCAAAAACTAGTTGGCGTCATATTTGACAAGAAATTTTATGACTTCATGAAACTTGAATTCTTTCTTTTAACTAAATGAGATGAGACGAGAAGGAACTGTGAGCAGGAAGAAATTCTGAACAATAATTCAAATTCTTTGTTTACAACTATGTTATGTACAAACTGTTTCGAAATTAAGCAACCCTAAACCTCTCTAAACGAGCATCGGAGACGCGTTTTCTCAAGTTATCTTTCAAACGCTGTGGAATCAAACCGATTGGAAGACGGCTGAGAGCAAGTTACATGAAGAGTGATTGAAATTAAACTGAATACTTTGCTTGCAAATCTATGGGTGTACAAACAAAGACAGGAGATACCTCCACAAAAATAACTATCATGGAAAAACAGACAACCTGTCTTTTTCTAGCTACTGGTTAGCTGTCTCTACATATTTTCACAAAATTCTGATCATGTACAAATTGTGTTTTACTTCTTCCGCTGTGGTGATGTGATCTCGTAATCATTTACCTAACAGTAATCCAATTTCCTGACGACTCCAAGTGATTCTCAGATATCTGCTGCCTTCTTGAAAAAGGGTTTCTACTTGGGCTGCTGGGGAACTCATCGCGATCGCAGCTCTCAAATCCCTGATCTGAACAATCAGAACCCTCTTCGTAAAGTCCAATGTCTAATGTGCTCGCTGGTGAGTAGGCCGCACCATTTCTTGAAAATTGCATCGAGTTTCCAGACACAAATGGATGGTTGAGCAACTCCTTAGCAGACCACCTCCTTTTGGGGTCTCTCTCCAAGCATCTTGCTAAGAAATCCAACCCTTCGTCCGAAAGCTTTTGCGGGAACTGAGGCTTCTCATTGCCACAAGCAATCTTCAAAACAGCAGCAACCGGATTCCAAATCTCATTGCCCCAAGGAGGCCTCCCGGTAAGCATTTCAATCACCGTGCATCCCAATGACCAGATATCCGAAGCAAAATCTAGCCCTTCGTTTCTCAAAACTTCAGGAGCCATCCACAATGGAGTCCCGCCAATACATTGCAAAGAGTGCTGCACTGAAACCCCGTCAGCCTTTGAGGCCTTTAGCCTCTTTGCGAAGCCAAAATCCGCCAACTTGACATTCCCGGAGGATCCCAAGAGCACATTGCTGCACTTGAGGTCACAATGCACAATCCCACTTTCATGAAGATACTTGAGGCCGTGAAGAATCTCCCTTGTGTACAACCGAACCACTTCTTCCTCCAACGCCCCGCCAAATATCTGCATCACATCTGACAAACTACCCCCTGCCATGTACTCCATGAACACATTAGTGCATTTCCCTTCACCATTTTCCCTCCCCATACATTTAACAACATGGGGAATTCATACTCTCGAGAATCTTAACCTCGTTCTCAAGAGCCTCAGCTCCATCCCTAGACTGAGCAGATTTCACAACGAAAAGCGCTCCTGTGGCTTTGTTCATGGCCAGATGAACACTCCCATAAGAACCAGAACCGACCATTTTTCCCTTCATCCACTCACCCGGCAGAGGAGATGTGCACTGATCAGGATTCGCAGCCATTTCTTCTTTGATATTTTGAATCGGGCAAGAATACCCAACTCAAAACATGATGCTTCTGGTGCCTCTAAAAGCATGCAGAGAAAAACACCATGAACTGTATGATATCGAAGACCGATGTATTTATAGAGGATTTGAAAAAAAGGGAAAAAAAGAAAACAGGTTGATGGAAAAAAAACTTGCCAACAGTTCCAGATTGAATCAAAATCGGAAACATAAACAAAACGAGGAGTTATTTTTAGGATTAAACTGAAACTTCAATGACAGAATTACTCTCTTACTTTGATGGTAATCAGAGTTTCCAAAGAAATTAAACAAAGTGCAAGAAAAAACTATAATGATGGTAGAGCGGTTTCCCCTTCGCACGGAAAACCGCTCTAGCAGCAGGAGATTTCTCCTGAAGTTTTTACAAAGCAGAAAACTTTGATGATCTCCTTTTTCCCAGATACAAAATTATGGCCAGGAAAAGGAAATGAAAATTTGAGGAGGAATTTGGAATTTTTATGAAGTCTGATGTGGGAGGAAAAAAACGGTTGGCCATCCTAGCCTTGTGGAACGCCCTCGAGTCCTATGGGTACCTGCCACGTGGCAGAAACTACAATCTAATTCGTGTTTGCTCAGACAGAACAAAGAACGGCTATTGAGACACTGAATTTCTTGCCGTTCGTTTTTCTCACGTTCGAATTCTGTCCCTGCGGATTAATAGATTATAGTAGTTTAGAATGTCGTTTCTAAAAAATAGAAACAAATAACCACTTCTAACCAAATTGGTTTTCTTAATGAATGTCCAACATCACCGTGGTATATACATCAATTTATTACAAAATCGAGATTCGATATTGTTATATATGGGGAGAAATTTCACTCATAACCACATCCTCTTGCAAGTATAATCGAAAACAGTCTGCAAAATACTTCTTGATGAATTGTCTTCCGGCAACTTTAGAAGCTGAGCAACTTTCGAGAATCCAGCCTCGTGCCTAAACGAAGAAACTTCAGCTGCTTCTAACTCCGTCTCCTGCTTGAACAGCGGTGGTTTTGATAATGCCCACTGCATTGACCAAATGGCCAGAGGGCGCATGTAAGTTAAAGATCTGAATTCTCCGCTGGTGGTCCAAGCTTCGGGAGTCTGAAAAGAGTATCTGTTGATAAAATAATGAAGGAGTTAGGAAGCGAGAAACGGAGAGCAGATAACATATACATCAATAGGTTGAGTTAATGAGAAATTGACAGTGAGTGAGTCAACATTTAACGGATCATATCCCTTCGATGAGGTTGTCGACAATCTTCAGTATGGTTGCATCTCAGAAACTAGGAAAAGAAGTCATGTATTGGCATTTGTTTAAGCTAACACCCGACATACACTTTACACAGATATTTTATGTCCAAACATAGCTTGCAGGTTAGCGATAATAAAGTTAACTCACCCAAGACCTTCTTTGGACCATGCAGCTTCATAGACTCCAGCCGCAGTATGAAATCCTATATCAACCATATCTTCCTGAATCATCGTTGCAGCTACAGCGTATGTAACTCCAGACCATATTTCTCTTGACTGCATTGATGACATGTCAACCTTTCCATCGGGTAGCATCCCATTAACTGCTCCTTGTCTCCCATCCTTAAACTTTAGGACATTGTAATTATAAACCATTTCCAGCGCACTCCGTGCCTTGTCTTCATCAACAATTGGCAACAGACCGGATGCTCTTGCATACCTACAAAGTAGCTAGATAGTAAGTTTTATTTCATCGCCATAATTACATAGATCAGACTGATAATTTTGTGAAAGAAATCTTTTGATGGGCATTAATAGATGACATTCAAAATATCTAAGATGTCAGTTGAGTCACAACAGACCATTGTCCGGCCAGTTGATCAGCTTGGATTGATGAACTTGATGTTTGACCACTGTTGTCATAATTAAAGTAAGATCCATTCCATAATTTCGCATACACAGATTTTGCCTTCTGATACTTGTGCCAAAAATAAACCTCTGAACCCTTGTCACCTACTTCTCGTGCCAGGGCTGATGCAGCCTGCAATGCTGCTACCCACAGCCCACCACTATATGCACCCACACCAGAGACCGACCACGTATCATAAGTCTGATCTGGGGAGCCATCACTCTCAACCATTCCATCGCCATCCTTATCAAATTGTTCCATATAAGCCATTGCAACATAAACAGCGGGCCAAACGGCTTCTGCAAATTTCTTATCACCAGTGGCAACCACATCCCTGTAGACTTGGAGAACAAACTTAGGATTCAAGTCTTTCCACCTATCCGTGTTATACAGGTTATACGCATTTACTTCAAACCAGGGGTCATGGAGGCCGATATCATGAGGAACAGCTCCAAGAACCTTTCTTTGGACCCATTTTCCATCAGATAGAAGTCTCATCTTAGAGGGGTCGTGCATCATTACTGCTGCTGCAAAGTCCCGTTGGATGCTGAGCTCAAGTTTTGGGAATAGCATGACTAGTGCAAACGAAGAGTAGAAATGGACATCGTAACTGTTCCACATATGATATTCAATTCCTTCAAGACAGAGAAATTGGCCAATGTTTTCTTCTCCCTCCTGAAGGAGATTTGTTCCAAACGCAGAGTTTGATGCTATGGGAGTGTGAACTTGCTCAAGTATTGATGTCATCCTTCCAAGAATGTCAATAGCAGTATCATTTTGCTGGGATGCGTCAATGACGCTTTTCAAACCTAATGATGACTTATCCAGGGAAAACTTCCTTTCCCCAATGCTCGTTAAGCTATGGACTGGCGGTGCTCCATCTGCAAAACAATTTATATGAAAAGAAAAGATGAACTAATGTTTCAATATAATTGTCAAATTTCACCGCAAAAAAAATTCAAACTTAACAAATACCTGTCCAAACTGTGCCCCCAGAATTCAGAATGTAGAGCTCATTGAACAGAGTGACAGGGTACCTGCAGAGAACCTTGACAAATCTTAGAAATCTGACATGTACGTGAATCAGTTTAGACATCTAAACTCACCATTCAGGAAGTCTCTTGTCCTCAAGAACTGGTCTTTGCCATGCTTCAATCTGGGATTCCCAATGGTGATGCTCTATATTTCAAGGAAAATAGAACAAAAACAAAGGATGTAAGGCCACCGATCACAATCAATAGATAATATAACAAAGAAACGGTGAATTAGGGTTTCCTAGTTAAAGGAATGCGAAAGTTTCACACTCTTTCTTATGATCAGACGATAATATACTATGTGACCATTTCCTAGTTTAAAGAACACAGTAACTTGGACTAATGTTCCTTTATGATATGTTTGGATGAGGGACTTTCAAAGTCCCAAAGAACTTTAGACTTTGTTCTTGAAAAAACCAATGAACTACTCCGACACTAGAAAGCTACTTTAGAACACTAAAAATGCTTACAAAGACACTAAACAAAGGACCTTCAAGGTGTCATTTGAAAGTTCTATTAGATGTATAGCACTAATCATTTTCACAGTCCATCCAAACTAATTTAGCCGAAGTTCCATGGAACTTCAAAGTCCCTCGCACAGACGCACCCTTAGGGTTGGATGACGACTCAAGGATTCTGTAAGAGTGCATTAACCATCAAATTTACAATCTCATTGGCAAGTAGGGGGTCCAATACTAAAATAGGTGTCATGTATCATGCTTCAAATGAAGATTCTGAACTCAACTCAGCTATCCCGAAGTGGAGGAATGAATATCATTGTCGATGAAAATTATTGTCTTCTCTAATGACACAAAAATTACAAAGAACTGTCATGTGATTTACGCTGACCACAATACGTTAAGGGGTAACGGCCCAACTTTGACTACCAAACAAATAATCTAAAAAAAAATCACCAACATGAAGTTTATGAAATCAACCATTACCAAGAATAGCATCATGAGCAATATTTGCAGCTGCATCCCCAAGTTTGCCATAGAACTTAGAGTACCGCCTGTTCGTAAAAAAAATTGCAGCATTTAAATACTGTTCCACTGTATCATATTTTTCACCCAAGTGTTTCTCCACCCACCTGTGATACGTCTTCCCACCCATAAATTTTACTTCTGGGCAGTCCCATGCCAATGAAAATGTTACAGTGCGTACTCCATCAGGTGGAACTGCCACAGACGCAGCAATGGCTGCCCCAATAGATGATCCGGGTTCTGAAGGTAATGGCGTTTCTGCAGAATTAAGACTGTCAAAGGATCCATGCTGTAACAAAAGAGGCACAAGTATCAAGTTTTATGAAGAATAAGAATAGTTCAAATATACCAAAATAAAATGGGTCTCCGACCCTTGTAAATTACTTTCTTGCGACAATCAAAATAAAGCAAGCTGAAGACACTTCCATGACATGAAAATGTTAGCATAATCTACTGACCTCTTTTATCTCACTCCACATGTTCTTAGCTGTGATACCTTTGGAGTCGCCAGAAATCACAAAGCAAGGGCACTCTGATACGTGAACACCATCAGTCTCCTGTGCTGCTATTGCAAATGTCACTGGGGGCAGCCCATTTGCAGTCCTGTATTTGCAAATAATGATTGTTACATGTAGAGAAAAATAACAAACACATCATAAATTGAGGAAATGATTCCAAGAATCTTTTTCCATCTATATCAAGAAAGGGAACTTACTTGTGATGTAGAAGTACGCCATGCACGCCATCCTTCATCCTAAAGATGTTAAATGATACTGAGAGTTAGAATAATTTGCAAGTATGGTGATAAGCAATCTTTCGTAAGGGCACAAGCAGATATACATGTGTTGTTATATCAAAAGTCAAAGGTTTGATTCTCAAAAGAAAAAATTCAAAGGTTTATGTTAGAAAATCCGACGAGAAGTCAAGCTAAGGACAAGATCGTACACTGCTCTTGAATTGGAGTGATGACCAGAAAGTTCAGAAGTCCCTCCAACAGAATTCTGAATGGAACATGCCAAAATAATTTCGAATTAGTTGTAATGGCTTCTCATGGGATAAGTGTTCGATTCAAGATTGCCAAGAAAACATACAAAAAGAGACGGAGAAAATATTTTAAACAAAAAGGACTTACTGCCCAAGTGAAAAGCAGTGTGACATCAGCTGCAGTCTTCCCAGAATTATATATCTGAAAAGAGAGAAAAACTAAAACTCCAATGCAGCTGCGCCAGATTTTATGAAAACATATTTCTCACAGAATCATTCTTACCGTGTAAGTAAAAACTGAAACAGGTAGGCTGCTCTCCTTGTAATTATGGGGAATAAAAGGCGAAATTTGACGACAGACTATTTTGAGAGCTGGATCAGGTTCACCTGTATCAAAGAGAAAAATATGACCCATGAAGGACATAGTACCACTCATATGTATAACATTCAATGTATCTTACCGTCGTAAACAGACCAAGCCCTTGGAAAAAGGGCATGATATGTAGAATTATCCCCGTTCAGATTCCAGTCCCAAGATCCAATCCCTGAAACTTGACTTTCTCTGTTCATGCACATAATATCAGTAAATTCATTCATTCATTCATTCATAGGGGTTCCTTATTGTGACAAAAAGTAAACAAATTGTCTTGTTTCATGTCTAGGAACTTACTTCAGAACGTCTGGGATCCTTGGACAGAGCACAGTAGAGTATTTTTCACCATTCGTGCGGGAAACAAATACCTGGCACAGCATTTATATCCAGTTTAATTAAGGAAAGAAACTTTTACATCATCTAAAAAAAAAAGTGTAATAAGTTTTACATCATCTAAAAAAAAAAAGTGTAATAAGAAAGGCTATTGCAAACTATTTGGTTAAAATGATGATGAAATATTATCAGAAGGTTCCAGAAGGGAGAAGAGCGAAGCTAAAAGTACGTCTTGAGATTGTACCAGACATTTATGCATCTTATAACTAAAGGAAAAACAAATGAAGGTTAATCATGGACTTAAATTTGCAGGTTCTTCCGCACACTTAAACTGAACAACTGTAGACTCTTTTGCGAGATCATCAGTCTCTAACACGTGAGGAGATTGTATTCCGCTTCTGGAGTGTTGCACTGCATTAAGTACATAATTCTCCGCAAGAGGATGTGTATACTATCTTGTTAGGAATGTCGGTACTACAAGATAGAGAATGCACACAAAGTAAAGTAGAAAATGGACACCAAAAATTTATGTGGTTCGGCAATTTATGCCTACGTCCACCAAACAAGGATCAATCTTCACTATATGAAAAGATGAGTACAACAAGAGTAGTCTTACCAAGCCAAAGACAAGGCTTGATGGATACAAGAAAGTAGGACACACACTTTCTATCACACTAAACTTCACTCACACAATGTGTAGTGGAACACTCTCACTCTCACTCTTGGAGTGGAACTCTAGCTTTGGACTTGATCCTTTGCTACTCACTACTCTCTTGATTTGTTGTTTCACTACAACATCACACCCATATTTATAGGTGAGGGTTTGGCATTCTACTAGTTTCTAGTGTATTCTTCAAACCTCTAGCATAGAAAGATCTAGACTAGCCACAAAAGTGTGGCTTCTAGATCTTTCCATTTGCAACCAAGGAAGCTAGTACTCTCTAGCTTCTTCCATCAACTTAATAACATGCTAGAATTGTCTAGCATGCTCCAGCCATCTCTCTTGCTTACTAGAATAATCTAGAACATTGATCATGGGCTGGACCATATACCAACAATCTCCCCCTCCAGTCCATGAGGGAGGAATTCCGATCATGACTCCAAGTTACCTGGAGTCCATCCCAGCAGCCTTAATGCAGAATTCCAACTTTGATTTTGTGACCACCTTTGTCAACATGTCTGAAGAATTATTATCGGTATGAATCTTCTTCAGCTGTAGCATCTTGTTCTCGATAGCATCTCTAATCCAGTGATAACGAATATCAATGTGCTTGGTGCGTGAATGGTATGCAGTGTTCTTGCTCAAATCCAGAGCACTCTGACTATCACAATAAACGCCATAATCACTTTGTTTCAAACCCAACTCTTGGAGAAACCGCTTCAGCCACAACAACTCCTTGCATGCTTCTGTAGCGGCTATGTATTCAGCCTCGGTTGTAGACAAAGCAACACACTTTTGCAACTTGGATTGCCAAGACACGGCTCCCCCTGCAAAAGTAAACAAGTACCCAGACGTAGATTTTCTACCATCCAGGTCACCTCCCATGTCAGCATCTGTAAATCCTTCCAAGATTGGTTTGGAACCGCCAAAGCACAAGCACATCTTAGAAGTCCCCTTCAAATATCTGAGAATCCACTTAACAGCTTCCCAATGGTCTTTCCCTGGATTAGAGAGAAACCTGCTCACCACACCTACTGCATGAGCAATATCTGGCCGTGTGCACACCATTGCATACATGATACTTCCTACTGCTGAAGAGTAGGGAACAACTGCCATTTTCTCCTTTTCTTCATATGTTTTTGGACACGACTCTTTGCTCAACTTGATATGATTGGCTAAAGGTGAGCTTACCGATTTGGCTGCTTTCATGTTGAACCTTTCAAGCACCCGTTCAACATACTTTTCTTGTGACAGCCACAACTTCTTGGATTTTCTGTCACGAATTATCTCCATGCCCAAAATCTGCTTGGCTGGCCCTAAGTCCTTCATGTCAAAGGACTTAGATAACTCTTCTTTGAGCTTTTTAATCATAAAAGCATCTTGACCGACAATCAACATGTCATCAACATAAAGCAACAAAATGATAAATTTACCTCCAGAAAATTGTTTGATATAGACACAAGAGTCAGCATGAGTTCTCTTGTACCCATTACTCACCATGAATGAGTTGAACTTCTTATTCCACTGTCTCGGAGCCTGCTTAAGACCATATAAGCTTTTCTTGAGCTTGCACACCAAAGTTTCTTTACCCTTGACTTCAAAGCCTTTGGGTTGCTCCATATATATCTCCTCTTCTAAGTTACCGTGGAGAAATGCAGTTTTAACGTCTAACTGCTCGAGCTCAAGATCCATGCTTGCTGCCATACCAAGGATAACTCGAATGGAAGTCATCTTCACCACCGGTGAGAAAATCTCATCAAAGTCAACTCATTTCTTTTGACCAAAACCTTTGACAACCAAACGAGCCTTGTACCTTGTCATGTTGTCGTCATTTTTTCAATTTGAACACCCACTTGTTTTTCAATGCTTTTCTGCCCTTTGGAAGCTCCACCAGCTCATAGGTATTATTCTTTAATAAGGAATCCATCTCTGACTCCATTGCCTTCATCCATTTATCACTGTCGTTATGAGCTCTGGCCTCCTCATAAGTTTCGGGCTCTCCATAATTAGTCAACATGATATACTCTGATGAAGAATACTTGGTAGACGGTCTTCGACTTCTGCTGGATCTTTCTGACCTGATCTTCATTCTCTTGCGGGGCTAGAGGTTCCCCCTGATTGGATTCTCCTTGAATCTGCTCTTCTTGACTAGGCTCCCCCTGATCAGCAATCTCATGGTCTGGCACATCTTGATCAGGCTCCTCTTGATCAGCATTATCTGATTCTGCAGGCACTTCATTGGCAGTTGCTTCAGGGATGTCATCGTGACTTTCTTCATCTGAAACTAATGGATCAACTCCTCTGACTGCGCCATCTGGTTGTGCCTCTTTATCCGAATCCCCAATTGTTTGATCTTCATAAAAGACCACGTCTCTACTTCGGATAAACTTCTTCTGGTATGGGTCCCATAATCTGTAACCAAAATCTTCACCGCCACCATAACCAAGAAAGATGCACGGTGTAGCTTTTGTAGTCTAACTTCGATCTCTGCTCTTTGGGCACATGCACAAAAGCTTTTGCAACCAAACACCTTCAGATGAGAGTAAGACACATCATTACCAGTCCATACTCTCTCTGGAACATCAAGACCTAATGGTACTGATGGAGATCGGTTGATCAAATAGCATGCTGTCCTTACAGCTTCACCCCAGAACTGCTTAGATAACTTTGCAGTCCTCAACATACACCTGACTTTCTCCATGATGGTTCGGTTCATTCTTTCAGCAACACCGTTATGTTGTGGAGTTCCAGGAACTGTCTTCTCATGACGTATGCCATGTTTTACACAATACTCTCTAAACTGGTGAGATGTGTACTCGCCGCCGTTGTCGCTACGAAGGCACTTGAGAGGTTTCCCAGTTTCCCTCTCCACCATGGCATGGAACTCCTGGAATGTCTGAAACACCTGGTCTTTGGATTTCAACAAATACACCCACACCCTTCGTGAAGCATCATCAATATAAGTAACAAAATATTTATTTCTTCCAAGTGACTCGACTTCCATGGGACCACACACATCTGAATAAACAAGATCTAACAAGTTTCCTTTCTTTGTAGATGGAATCGAAAAAACTAATTCTTCTTTGTTTTCCTAATAAACAGTGCTCACAAGAGTTTAACGACGTACCTTTGGCAAAGGGAATGTGAGACTTCTTTGCCAAAACCTGTAGGCCTTTCTCGCTCATGTGACCTAGCCTCTTATGCCACAAGTCTAGAGATGAGTCCTCCACAGCATTCAACTCACCTTTCAAAACCTTGGCATTTGACCGGTACAACGTACAACAAAGTCGTGCTCTTGCTACCACCATTAAGCCTTTAGTAAGCTTCAATTTTCCTTCGCCAATATGGTGATAATATCCTTGTCGATCAAGGGTACCAATGGATATCAGATTGAGACGTATATCAGGAATATGTCTCACATCTTTCAACATCAATTGGCAGCCGAGATTAGTTCTTAGACATATATCACCAATTCCAAGAATTTTGGAATAGCTTTCATTCCCCATCTTCACTATGCCAAAGTCACCTTCTTTGTATGTACTGAAGAAACTCCCGTTTGGACGTAGCATGGAAGGAAGCTCCATTGTCAAAGATCCATTCAATGTCTCTGTCAGAGTTGCCCATATGCAGACATTCACCAACAGACAATATTTCTGGTACATCACCACATATGACAGCGGTGGTATTGCCAGTATCATCTTTCTTCTGATTGTTTCCTTCCCTTTGCTCTCTCTTCCAAACTCGACAATTTTTCTTCATATGGCCTTCTTTGCCACAAATGGTGGCATGCACCCCTGAACCTTGACTTGGATCGGCTAGGACTCCTGCCATGACCTCTAGGCCCTCTACTCTTGCTTCTTCCGCGGTTCTCTGTGACAAATACTTGGCTGCTATCTGTGCCAGAAGTCTTTCTCCTTGTTTCTTCATTGAGCATGCTATTTTTAACATTATCAAGAGTAAGAAACACCATTAGAAGCAGAGTTACTTATACTCACCACAAAGGTCTCCCAACTGTCTGGCAAAGGATCCAAGTAACAAGAGCGCTTGTAGCTCGTCCTCGATCGTCATTTTCATAGTAGCCAACTGGTTGATGATATTCTGGAAATTGTTCAAGTGTTCTGCTACACTTAAACCATCCTTGTACTTCACATTGATGAGCTCTTTGATCAAGAAGGCTTTCTTGGCTGGGGTCTTCTTCTCGAACAAGGACTCAAGCTTCGTCCAAAACTCGCGAGCATTGGTTTCATTAGACACATGGTGAAAAACACTATCATCCACCCATTGTCTAATTGTGCCAATAGCCTTGCGATTCATCTTCTTCCACTCGGCATCGGACATGCTCTCGGGCTTAGCGGCATCTCCTTCAATTGGCTCATGCAGATCCTTGCAATAGAGAGAATGTCCTCCATCCTTGGCTTCCATGTTACCCAATTGGAGTTGGGTGAGTTTGATCATAGTGCCACTTCCTTCCATCTCGTAGTACGAGCCAACCGGGCTCTGATACCACTTGTTAGGAATGTCGGTACTACAAGATAGAGAATGCACAAAGTAAAGTAGAAAATGGACACCAAAAATTTATGTGGTTCGGCAATTTATGCCTACGTCCACCAAACAAGGATCAATCTTCACTATATGAAAAGATGAGTACAACAAGAGTAGTCTTACCAAGCCAAAGACAAGGCTTGATGGATACAAGAAAGTAGGACACACACTTTCTATCACACTAAACTTCACTCACACAATGTGTAGTGGAACACTCTCACTCTCACTCTTGGAGTGGAACTCTAGCTTTGGACTTGATCCTTTGCTACTCACTACTCTCTTGATTTGTTGTTTCACTACAACATCACACCCATATTTATAGGTGAGGGTTTGGCATTCTACTAGTTTCTAGTGTATTCTTCAAACCTCTAGCATAGAAAGATCTAGACTAGCCACAAAAGTGTGGCTTCTAGATCTTTCCATTTGCAACCAAGGAAGCTAGTACTCTCTAGCTTCTTCCATCAACTTAATAACATGCTAGAATTGTCTAGCATGCTCCAGCCATCTCTCTTGCTTACTAGAATAATCTAGAACATTGATCATGGGCTGGACCATATACCAACATATCTAACTTCTGATTGTTGAAAGCATTAGCAAAGAAATGCCTTGAGATGGCAGGCAATAAACTTATATAATTTTCTATTTTTCTTTCTATAAGAATTAACTTACAGAAAATTGATCTGCTAAAACAGGTTTCTCTTCACATCTTTCAGGGAAGAGCTGCCACCGCTGAAAATCACCACTATAACTTCTTCCGATGCTTCCTGCCCTAAGAAAGCAAACAAAAGGATTATATACTATGCAATTGGTAACAAAAGGATTATATACTATGCAATTGGTTATACTTCTTAGTAAGATATATATACATATAGATAGAGAGAGAGAGAGAGAGAGAGAGAGAGAGATTGATGAGTTACCCAATTCCACCAAGTGGGACACCATGATTAGATGTCAAATGGTGCTTAACAAATGGATTAATGAAGCCCTCCTGCAGATAAAATATAAACAGGTTCATCCGTGTTAGGAAGAAATTCAATTAGATGGATCCCCTAAAATAAGCAATCATCAAAGCAACTAAGCTCATTTAACATTAAGAAGATTACCCTTCCCTTAGCAGCTTCTTCTCGTAGATGACGCCATAGCCGAATACCTATTGGAGCCTACCAAAAACAAAACAAGCAATATTGTGACAGAAACAATAAGAGAAGGTAAAGGTCAGATACTAAAATTGCAGTCAGTCATATGCTGCATCACCAAGGCCTATGACCAAAACTTTATGCGAAATATCTCCAGTCGATACGTCATTTGTTCATTTTCATATATGGTGTACTTCAAACTTCATACATACTATGTTTCAAACTTACCAAATGAATGATCTCTTTTAAATATAGATTGAATGGCAAAGGTGCGTTGCCCGTGCTGTTTAATTTTCGTTGCCATGTCAGTGATGCAGGCTTCCCAGGGTCAACCTTAATCCAGATAAACAAAAGAAAATACATATTAGAGAGCACCAAAAGGCAAAATCTTTCAAGTCTCAAACAAATTTCAATCAACGATTCAACAGTCTTAGGTCACTTGTCAGATCTTAAAATTACATCATGCAGACTATGTTAAGTAATCCAAAAACCACTATTTTTATTGGCGAAACCAGAATTCCCCAGTGGCAGATTCTAAGCATTTTCTTCAATTTTCATATATAAAGTAGAGGCATGAACACAGTGAGTCTTCAATATCATATTATCATTATATCAAATGTTGCAACGTTTCCGTCTCCTCTAAGACGCATAAGAAACAGTGATGGTGAAACTAAAGCCCTCTAAGACATATTCAGCACAAGTTAGTAGTCACAGGCTTTTCGAAAGAGTATGCAAAGTCAGTAATTATCCAAACAAGTACCCGAAATTCATCTTTTGAAGATTATAAACACCGAGTTAAATCTCGAAACCTTTACTTGTTTCAAACAAAAAGGAAATGCTGTCAGGTTACTGTTGAGAGTTGTCCTACATCGGTGAGGGACAAGGTTTGCTATGTGCTTATATGGTATTGGGCTACTCCCCATATTGCCAATTGGTTTTATGGTGGAACCTCAATTTCATCAGTTACTTCTCACATTTAAGAGTATATAATCTTGATTGAGCCTACCTTTTCAAGTGAAGAATCGGAATGCTCGTTATCTCTTTCAGCAAACTCATTCTCGAATATCTTCTTCTCAAGCATACTTCCTGTATTAAACAAAACATTACTTAATCGGGCAGAACGCAGTTACAAAGTTAATTAATAATGTTCTTCCTCTTATCATGTTCCATCAGTTTACTGGAAGTTAAGAACATCAACACAAGTATTGAAATTACAGCAACCATTTTACTCCGATAAGTTGGTAACTAAAGAAAATGCCCTTTTCCATCCTCTCATCCACCAAATAAACAGAACTACTGCATATAATTTTCGAGAATTCTCTGCAAGATTATCAAAATTATAGTGGTAACCCAGATAGTCATGTTTTGAATCACTGTAGGATCCACATTAATCACTTTGCAATGCTTATGTTACACGGACACTCTGAAACCTCGAAGTGTCCGAGTGGCAGATACCCTGACACGCCTCAAACACGCTCCAAACACGGTTTAGACTTCAGACATGGTCAAGACATGACAAGGGATTTTTGTAAATGTAAAAGAAATTTTGAGGCAATTTTGTAAATATTGAAACTTCTAAAACCTAAAGTTTTCTGACCTACTCTTTAGTTCTCTTTCTCTCCCATTAGAGGTTGTGATCTTTCCTAACGACGACAATGAAGTTGAGGAGAAAATAGAAACAGAGACTTGAGACCATTGAGACTTGAATCTTGAATCTTGTGTTTAACTATTATGTTTAGTGAATGAATTCGATGAATACGAGCATTTTGTCATATTATAAATTTGAAGTATTGTTTTTAATATATGTAATATTAATTATAAACTAGTCGTATTTTAATCCCCGTTTCGTATTCTTATTTTATGAAATTTTCGGTATAGCTGCGTCGCACGTCACTCCATATTTTTCCAACATATTGCTTTCTGATTCTGCAGGATTATTGACGTTTACAATTCAGACAATTCGCGAAACAAACAAAAATACAAAATAAAAAAAATCAAGAAGTGTTGTGGCCTATATGTAACTGAGGGTACGGCATGGAGAGGAAGAGATTGGAGAATTGGCTTGAAGAATTGTGTGATAATTCCTCAGTCTTTGTGCCTTTATTTATAGTAATAAGAGGAGAGAAACTTATTCTTCAAGTAATACAAAGTCTATTAAGAAAGATCTTCTAGATCTCAAATGATTCATAATCTATCTCTACATTTACGCAATCACAATATGTATTAGAACTTATGTCACAATAAGAAGAGAAATCTTGATGACCCATTTCACTGCGTATACATCTGATCTCACTCACCCAACAAAAATATCAACTGGTGTAAATAATTCATACCCGACAGTTATCAGACTGCAACTCCAACCAACTGGGTTCACAGAGACAGCAAACTCCCGCAGATTACAGGAGAGAGAGAGAGAGAGAGAGAGAGAGAGAGAGAGAGAGAGATAGAGTTGGTGAATAATGCTGAATGTTTTGATCATACAGAAGGCCGACCCTTTGACCGGTATGCATGTCCATATACTTCTTTTATCCATACGCTATCTAATTTTCAATTTACATTTTTCTCTTCTGTCAAGTTAGTTGGTGACACGTGTCTCTGTGTGTCGGGTTTTCTTTCTATTTTATGTTATCTTAAGTTGAAGAATGTTTACCTTCGTTTGACGGATTAACATTTTAGTGTTCCTTTTATGGCATGTTTCCGTAAGGGTAATCGGAATAAAGAAAGGGAATTGAATTCCGATTACGGAGTATTCCGGTGTTTACTAAATATTAAGGAATCAAAAAAGTGGTGGAGCCCACACGAAACAAGGAATCCAATTCCTGAAATTGGAGGAACCGGATTCCCTAGTTTTGTGAGGTATTTGAATTCCCTAAGGGCAAGGGAATCAGGAATGCATATTTTATTCCAATTATGCCCTCACTTGTTTCTTATTATCCCAACATTGCCCTTCATTTGACACTCATTATGTCATTTTTAATAAATAAATAAAACCTATTTATATTTTTTTATATAGATAATTTTATTATATAAATTTAATTAAGAATTTAATTTAATTAATTAGTATGAAAATAATTTATTTATGTAAGGGCAATTTAGTCATCAACTTAGTTTTCATTCCGATTGAAGTGAATTAGTAAACAACTTATATAGACTCAATATCAATTTTTGTCATCTTTAATAAATAAATAAAACCTATTTATACATGCTTATATAGATGAATTTTATTATATAAATTTAATTAAGAATTTAATTAAATTATTAGTATGAAAATAATTTATTTATGTAAGGGCAATATAGTAATCAACCTAGTTTTCATTCCGATTGAAATGAATTAGTAAACAACTTATATGGACTCAACATCATTCCTACTCCGATTCCTGACAGTTTTAGTAAACAACTTCAACAGGAATCTGATTCTGATTCCACCTCATTTCAATTCCTCCTCAATCCAATTCCCCCTCAATCCAATTCCTCTCAATTTGATTACGGATTAGTAAACGCGCCATTAGTGTTGCGGTATTCATCAATTTATCCTTTGAATTTGTAAAAATTGATCAATTTCCCCCATTAATTTTAATTTTAGTCAATTTCTATCACCAATTCTCATAATTAATCAATTTGCATCCTATTGTTAAATTTTTTAATCTTCATCTACTTTTTCGTTAAGTAAATTAAAAGTTATCCGCAGGACTGCTTTTAAAGGCCAAAAAAGTCATTTTCTCTACTCCTTCGATCTTCTTCCTTTTCTTCGAACTTTCTCTTCTTCTTCCTTTTCTCCAAAGTCGAGCCTTTTCTCCAAGCCGAGCGGGTGCTGGTTCCACAGGTGCTCCACCGGCACCATTTTCCGGTGAACACCTAAAGAAACAGCGGGAGAGATCTGAGCTCGTAGATCCGCGTTCACTTCTGGGGTGTAGTCGCTGCGTCGCTACTGGTCGAGGTCCAATTTCTCTTTGGCTTCGAGAAAGGTCGCGTACCAGATATAAAGCAAAGAGTGGCCAACACAAATCTCCCCGTGCAACATTTCCAGAAAAACGCTTTCGAAATCTTCACTGGTATCCATCTGCAAATCCACAAAGACAAGTAATTAATGTTTCATGTCAATCACATTGACAAACAAACTAAACAACCTCCTCAAAATTTTAACCCAAAAAATGTACCAAATTTGATGTTTATTAACATAATCAAAGCAACTAAACAAAAGCCAAAATTGAAAGTAAAAAAAAAAAAATTGACCCATAAAAAATACACAAGCAAAATGTATGAAAAAATGTCAGAAATTAGAGAGGGAGTGTATTAATACATACATAGAGGAACCAAATCTTGAGAAATCTGATGTCGTCCCTGTACCGAGCATTGTCTTTGAATGCGGCGAAGCAGTCGGATAGAAGCTTGGTGAGATCCGACCCGGAATCCTTGCCGGAGTGAAAATCTTCTAGGGCTTGCTACACGGACCTAGTTCGGTAACTAATTTCAGTAACAATTTGAAGAAATTGAAGGGTAAGAGAGCGAGAGAGAGAGAGTACCATCCACTCCTCATCGGGGAGGGTGGTGATTGAAGGGCAGTCTTGGGAGTTAAAGAACTGAGATGCTTCTCTAACAGAGTGTGGATGAAGAAAAGGAAGTAGATGGAAGGTGTAGGGAAATGATTTTTTTACCCTTTAAAGGTGGTCATGTGGAATACGTTACCTACGTAACGGAAGAATAGATGAAAAATTAAAAAAAATTAATAGTATGGTGCAAATTGATTAATTATGAAAGTTGATGGAGGGAAATTGGCCAAAATTAAAGTTGAGGGGGAGAATTGGTCAATCTTTACAAGTTCAGAGGGTAAATTGATGAATACATCTTTAGTATTAAAATATTAAAAATAATGTTTACCGAATTGACACATTCCAACATGGAATGTTCACGTGTCTGTTTGGAACGTGATGTGCTGGCCGACATCCGGAGCTCAGAGGGTGACGAAGCCATAAAATATGATTGATGTGTAAAAGTGAGAATAAATTTGAATTTTAAATAAACTAAACAAGAGTGCGCAATGTGATTAGGTGGTACTAAAAAGATAAAATATAAAAGCTAAAACTTTTCTGTGGCAACCTTCAAACGATTTGAAGAGGTTGCTCACATCTTTAGCGACTGTATTTTGACAATTATTTCGTCACTAAAAGTTTATTTTATTTGGAAAAAAAAACGTGAAAAAGAAAATTGTAGCAATTGATATGGTTACCTAGCTGTAAGCTTTGAAAAAAAATTAAAAAAAATTGTTTAATTTACTATATTGCTCCTAACTTTTATTTTGGTTATTTTTTTTTAAAGTTTCGTTGACATGTTAATTTTTGGTTTTTTCACTTTCTTTTTGTTGACAAAGAAAATTGTGTTGATACGTAGTTTAGATTCTGTAGATGTTTAAAGTCTTGTAATGGAAAGAGAAAACATAACAATGTGCTTAAATATTCTTTTGTTGTTGGGAAAGTAATGTGCTTAATTAAAATTTATTTTGTTTTGTTTTGCCGCGATGTAGGAGAGTCAAGAGTGACTGGTGTGGGATCAGAGTATGGTCAGTGAGCTCCAGGAATAAAAGTGGAAGATGCGTATTTCAAAGTCCTAACTCGTACAGTAGAATTTCTCCCTTGTAGAATATTGTTGTATCAAACGAAAATTCCGATTCGAATAATCAAGAAATTACAAACTAAGAGAAGCGACTTAAGGTTTTTTTGTCATAACAGTGTGTTCGCTCCTTTGCATTCAGGTTTGAATAAGTTGTAGTTTAAAATGTTTGTCTTAAAAAAATCACTAACTTTCATTTCTATCAATGGGGGGCATAGAATCCCAGTGAATTCTTTATATTTACTCCAAAGTTAATAGGTTAAACCTGCAACAGTAATTCTCAAATGGCACTTAATTCTCGTTTGAATCCCCTTCAGACTTTACTGTCCGAGCCTAAGAATCAGGAAATTCTTATCCTTGGTTTGTGTGAAAGAGAGATCGTAGCTTTTGACTTGTGTGAGATAGATCAGCGGAATGAGTTAACGTGGACCATCAGATTCAAAATGAGTGGTCCGGATTGTCTGGTTCTTGAGCTCCGGACAGTGAGGTCTGGGGAGGATCCCTTCCACATCGCCACCTTCCGCTGCATCACTTCCATGAATACACTGGTACATTCAAGTTTGCAATGAATTATCTCTCTTTTGCGTTTATATGCATCAAATGTTGCAGGCACCTCTCTCAATCTCAGCACCAGAGCACAAGCATCCAACTGTCATCACTCACGATTCAAACAAAACCAAGAGGTTTCTGTTTTCCAAACTGCTCTCGTCCAGAGCTCGGAAAGCTTGCAGCCAATGTTCCAGCGAATGTCAACAAATGTCTTCGGCAAATATGATGTCGAAGATGAATTGGACTGCAAAAAGAAAAAGAAAAGGTACCAGTGAGACTGTGAGAGCATGATTTTAGTACTTCAGTGTCATGAGTTAAAGTTGAAAGAAATGACGACTACATAAAAAAATAAACAATATGGAAAGGACAAATACACAAATTAAATAATTATAGACGAGAAAACATAATGAGATAAATAGAAATCAGGATGTTTTAATCACATGGATGGTGGGATCACGAAGGTTATAGATGATTGGTATCTTACCTTCCTCCTTGGGGATGTTAGGCTGATCAACCAAGAGCTGCTGGAGCGCACCCAAATCACTGGCACTAGGAAATTGATGAACGAACATCAAGTACATAAAACTTAATTCTTAAAAGAAGAAAGAAATATGTGGAAATATAACCACGATAAGAAATGGCTGGCACATCTGCAGATTGCACCTAAGCTCCAAAATGTATCAAATTTATAGTAGATGTGTAACCGTAAAATAAAAGGTTATAGCACACTGGAGGTTGAAATATGGTACAGTCTGCTAATCTCAACGCCCAAAACCCCTGCCCGGAAAAGATAAGAGTAGAAGCTCAGAAAATGAGAAATTCGAGTTATAGAAACAAGTTGATAAATAAAAAAAAGGTGCCAGCAAGGGGGTAGAATCTCAAAAATAGATGGCTTTTGGTATTAACAGTTCATTCTCCCTCGATGTTATGCGTTAAAGAACCATAAGAGTAAGTTGTATTACATAACACCTTCCAAACTAGAACAGACTCTTCACATTTGAAAGGATCAAGTTCCTAAACAATCAGGAAGGTAAAATATCAGTTACGGTCAGAAGATAAGTACTTCGCACACCTGGGTTTCAAGGTAAGTTGTGAGAGTGCTGTAACCAATGATGACTTCAAAAGGTACCTGATAACAGAAGGGGAAAAAAGAAAAATATTCACAAACCAGGTTAACGTGATCTCGAGTTCTCGACCCATATATAACTAGAAAAAAGGTTTAGTTACATTGGTGCGTGTGTGCGTGCGCGTGGGAGTGAGCGTGTACATATGTGTGTGTGTGCGTGTGCGTGCAGGAGAGGACCAGATTCTCTTGCAAGAATTTAGATGAACTTTCTAGAACACCTAATTACCACTAAGTCGCCGAATTTATAGGAATGAAATCTGGCAATACCAGATTTGATATCTCAAAGCTAACACGCAACAATTTATCATTTAAGACATATAAAAGTTGCATACTCAGAGCAATGCATGTCCTGAAGAAGCATAAGCCCATCCAAGCAATCCGCAAGACTGGGTTTTACACCAACTCGTTGCTGCAGTTGTTTTACACTCAACTGACTAGAACCACCGCCTTTTGCCATCTGCCTACCATCGTGATGAATCTTCCCGAGAGACAATACAATAACATGAAACTCTTCCCTGAAATTAATAACAGAAATTCAAAAAATCTCCCCCTTTTTCCACCTAAAAAATGCTAAATAATCATTATAAAAATTGAAATACTAATCTATAAAATGACTACTAACAATAATTAATATGCAAATAAGCACCGGCTGCTATGCTTTCAATTGGAATTATCATGGTTTAGGACTAAAATGGATACAATTGTAGCTCACCCAAAATTAGCTACTATAAATAAATTTCAATTACAAGAAAGAAAGAGAGAAATAAAAAGAGGAAAATTACATGGTTTTCTTCATGGAGAGCAAGATGTTTTGCAACGAGTCCATTTGCTTTGCCAGTAGTGCCTCTTCAATGCTGACAACATCTTTCAAACAGCCGTAATTCTTGGAATCTTGAAGCACCTGATAAAAAAAAACACACACACAAACAGACACAACTTGTAAATTAGCACAGCCAAATTAAGAAATGAAACCCAAGTTGTAAATTAATAAAGGCATGTTAAGAAATGGTTTTTAGTGGGGTTTGTTTGTTTGTTTAAATAATAGATAAAGAATAACTGTGGCATATGGAAAAAGCAATTGGATGAGAAGGGGGGATCGAGACCTGCAACCTCTGGATGATGGAGGAGGCGTTCCTGAACTGCGAAATCAAGCGAGACTGAAGCACGGCCCAGCTGTCCATCTCATCCCTCACCTTCCTGAACCTCTGCTGATACTTCTTCACCATGGCCTCCATCCCCACGACACCAAACTCCACAGAGAGAGTCAGAGACAGACTCAAAACAGGGTAGTCGAATCCAAACTAGGACTAAGAGGAGCTTAAATTTCACTACTACAACACAATAATATAGCACAAGATTAGGACAGCACACCAAAAATTCACAAAACTAGCGGTAAAGCAGAATCGATTCTAAAATTAAAAGAGAACAAAAAGGAACTAGTGCAAAGTGTATGGGAAATGAACTGAAGAGTTTTCAAACTCCATTTCAATGTACAGAGGATTTAACTTTGGATGTTCGAGTACACTGCAAGTGGCAAGTGGTGGATTGCCCTAGAGATTAAGGCTTTCTTCTTTAACCCACTACGTCTCGGGTTCAAACACTCCCCCCCTTAGTATAGATTAGAGTAGAATATCGCTTGTACTCTCAAGTAAATTGCAAGTATATTATTGCACTAATATTCTAGACAAATGCAGAAAATAGGAACTGAAGAAACATGCACAATTGAACAAACCCAATCCAATTCAAAGTATATCACAGAAACAGAGAAACCAATTCAATAAAATGCATCCAACTGAATGAATTTGACAACAAAATTCAACAAAAATTATGAAATTAACAAAATTGGAAGAAAAACAGAAAACCCAAGAAAAATATTCCAAAACAGCCAAAACCCAAGACCCACGATCAAATGAACAAAATCCAATTAAACAGAGAGGGAAAAGGACGTGGTAAAGACGAACCCTAACCTCAAGAGTGAGTTGTTGCAACACTGAAACGATAGCTAACGTGGGTTTTCAGAGTAACACTGCCTGAGCTTCGGGTTTCAGTTTTCTGAAAGACTGCACGGGTTTCTTCTCCCGTTATATAAGTTTTCCTTATTTATGGAATTAAAAAAAAAAAAATGAGATTATATAGTCAGCAAACTAAGATAGATTCGGTAAAGTATTATGAACTATTTATCTTTTTTTTTTTACAACAGATTTAGTAAACAATTTTAATTTTAATTAATTTTAATAGTAATTTATATATAAACCATGTCAATTATAAACATAAATTCGTGAATCGAATATAAGTATAACTCCTCCTCAATTTTAAAAGGCCAAAGAGTTTTTAATTTTGTTTGTTACACCCAAAGGCCACCGTCTCTACTTTAGTGGTACCGTTTTTGCTCAATTAGCATCAAGAGTAAAAACTTAAGACACACTATACCAATTCAGGCATGTTCCATTTATATTGGGGTGGTCAGTGGTCCAACACGATACTCCCCGGATCATTTTGGCGAGGATCCCGAAGGATCAGTATATGATGTCAATTCATTGTATATCGTGCGATCAGTTTTTATCAGGTACTGTTTGTATTTAATTTTAAATAAAAATATTTAAAATGATTTCTGACCATACGATGTATGATGAACGGATATAATTCACGAATCTCCAAAATCCTCACAAAGAGGATCCGACGAGAATTCGGATTTGTCAGTGGTAGTTCATGACTCGTTATGTGGGCTGGCATTTGCAAAGACAGTTCCCTCGTTGATTTCGATTTTGGCAACACAACTCTTTGCACCGAAGGTTGGGATCGATGTCGCATCCACAGCGGGTTTTGTTCCGTTGGTGGTGGAAATCCGATTCTTTGAATGCGGTTAATCTTAATACTGCAGGAGTGTTGGGTTGTGGAAGGTGCAATTGTCCATGTCGTCCGTGACTTCTTGCTCTTCTACATCAACTCACTTCGCAGTTTGTGCTTCGAAGTGCCAATCAATGACGCAGCGGCCAAATAAGCGTCAAATCCGACATCAAAATACAATTAGATGAGTCCGGACCCTCGCGGTCCGAATCTTTTTTATGAGAATCCTAAAGATCCGTAAATTATGTCCGTTTATCGTACATCGTACGATCATAAATCATTTTAAATATTTTTATTTAAAAATAAACATAAACATAAACAGTACTTGACAAAAATGACCGTACGATATACGATGAACGAACACAATTTACGGATCTCAGGATCCTCACTAGAAGGATCCGGAGAGGATCCTGTTGGCAATTAGATATCATGCAAACTTGGAACTTGCAGGAAACTAAAAGACGGTTATAAAAAATAGTAAAAGACGGTTATAAAAAATAGTAGAGGAGAATAAGAGAGAGATCATAACATGCATTCGATCAAGCAAGCGAAACCCATCACTAATCTGAAGAAAACTAGAAAAACAAAAAACAAACCAAGAATAAAAATCCTTATTCAAAAATCTAAACCCTTTACAATCAGTGTTTTTTCTTTACCACAAAATTGATATTGATATTGACCAGGCGAATTCAGTTGCGGCTACATGCTTCTATCTAGCTGCGGTTCGATGAACTTGAACGACCGGTGACTGAGACGATGGATGGGGACGCATAGGCCAGCCAAGGAGCGGAGGCGAATCTGGGGGTGATGCATCTCGACTAGGAGAGAAGAGGCTCAGTTCCACGAAGGGTACCCTAGAAGAACCCTCCTCCTTTTCCATAGTACGAAAAGAAATTGATCCACGCTTGGCTGATACATTGGAGTCTCTACAAGGGCTGATTCCAGAACTTTCCTCCATATGACTCTGGTTAGCAATGAGAGAAATGGTGTCATTCTGATCATCATTAACTCTCCTACTCTCCAAGTCCTGTAAACTCCCAAGGGCTAAAGAATCCGCAACTGGGCAGTAAACAAGCATGCATATACACACCCCGGCACAACATAAAAGTGCAAGAAACGCCAAGAAAACAAGAGCTTCAAACTGAACGTGCTCTGGTTTAGATAAAACAGAGAAACCAAGCAAAGTAACTCTTAACGGAAGGAAACTTGAAACCGAGAATATCAATGTATAAACTCTCTTCTGCAGACCTTTGTTGATGACCAATTTTAAAATCCGCCTTCCAAGCCAAAACAAGTAGGCAGTTAGAATGATGGCAAAAATCCCAAGCACGATGGTGCTCAGCAAAGGGTAAGTGCAGAAGGCAACATGATCAGTCTTGTTCACTGTACTTGTGAAGTAGTCAGGCAATTTATGTAAACTGTCTTTCTTGTGGAGTTCGGGTCCAATTAAAATAACAAAGAGCTGAAGAGCAACCAATGGGAGGCAAAAGAAAAGAATGTAACCAGCTGTTTTCCCATTCCACTTTCGGCTTAGAATTCCTGACTCCATTGTCTGCAAAGGCGCACGAAGTAGGAACACAAGGGTCAGGAATAGGCATGGTTCCGCAAACCCAAGGTTTGAGACAATGTAACACTTGCAAAGATTCTCCTGCCATTTGAAGTTAAGGGCGTTCAACACTCTCCCCTGACGTCTCAACAGACTTAAACGGACAACTTCACCAAAACCCCACCAGATTGCAAACAAGATGAAAGTGATTCGGATAATCCAAGGGCCACTGAAATAACTCAGCTGAATAAAACCCTGATTACGAATGCGAGAGCGAAAGTAAAACAGGTAAATAATGCAGAAGAGACCAAGAAGGGTCAAGAGGGCAACTAGACATATGGTCAACACACCGAGTGTATCGGCAGCAATTCTCGTCAGGGGCATTACCCGAAGCACAGATTCCACGCATGCTATCTGCCAGCATGGATACGATGATCCTCTGGTAGTGTAAACGCTTCCTTCTCAGAATTAACGAAAACTACCAAAGCAGTTTAAATAGTAATACCAGAAGATTCTCATCGAATTCATGGATATATCTATTACTGAAGTTGATGTTTCCAAGACATTCCCTGAACAACCATATAGCACCAACACTATCTGAACAATGTTGGGCTCTTAGGTTGATATCGTGACCCACACAACTGCAACAAAGATGGAAGAAAACCATGATCACACAAGGATCTCCAAAGATTGAAAAAATATAAAAAGTTATGGTCATAATCAACAGGACTTAGATAACTTTAACTTTAATCAAACAACAAGCTGCACCAATAAAAATTATAATTCTTATACCCAAAAGAAAAGATAAAAAGGTGACACATAACCAGCCTCATGTAAGATTGTCAAAGCATCATACAGAGAAGTGCAGAACACTTAAAGAGGAAACATGAAAACTACTTTTTACTTGGGGCAAATAATAAGGGATTACAGATTCTACGAATTTGTCAGATCTCGCAAGTACCAATTTTGCATGAAAAAATTAGTACAACAGATAATTTTCTGCATCCAGATTCCACAAATTATCAATAGCGCACACTTGACCAATGACTTGACCAAGTCAAAGTGGGCGTGCACCCGTTCAAATATCTACTCTTTGTAATAGGAGAGATCAGTAGATTCCAGATTCAAAGAGAAGCAGCAGGGGTGGAATTTACATCGTTTGCGCAACATACTTCCCTCGACATTGTGAGAACTACTTTTGCGCGATTGATGTGCTTTTAAAGCGTACAAATTATCAGTCAAACAACAATACCTCTATTCTAACAAAACAGCATTTGCTCAAACGCTTATACTCCGACAAAAATCACAGGATTGCATCTCACTCTTGGACGCTACTGATATTCTATCGAGCTATATTGACGCGCAAACGAATCATAAAAAATAAAAAAAATAAAAAAACAATATCAATCAGCAAATAAAACTCAAACCAGGAAGTATAAGGTTATTCATTTATTTAACATCCATTGTAAAAGACCCAAAAACTGGAATATACAGTTTAAATTTATAATCTAGTTTTTCTTCAATTCCTACCATTTCTCAGCAAACAAACAGTCCATAAACATTAAAATAAAATTCAAAATAAACCTTGCACAGACATTATATTCCAAATCCTTTCATGAAGATATTACAAGAAAAAAAAATTGACCATAAAATAACTACACCCAGAAAAATTAGAAGAATTTTGAATACCATAAATAGGGCAGCCAAGATGATAGAAACCCCCAAATTCAAGAAACTATAGCAAGAACAAAAATTAGTACGAATTAAAGCAAAAGGGAGATCAATCGAGATCTTACAGAGGCGAGAATCGTGATCTGGTGAAGCCGAACCCAGAATTGCAGAATTGGACAAAAAAATCAGAAAACCCTAACTTGCAGAGAGAGAGAGGAAGAGAGGGGGGGGAGACAGAAGGAAACAGAAGGGAAGGAGGGCGAGAGAGAGAGAGAGAGAGAGAGAGAGCGCACTTTAGGGGAATAGGTGAGTGGGACTTTGTTGGTGACAGGCTGTTTCCAGCTGTGTCGTCCGAGCCTCATGGTTCGAGAACTGAATAGGCTTGCTTCGGCTTCTTCTCGAGCCTACGTGGCAGGTCGTGGCGGCGTTTACGGTGAGGGTTTTTTTTGGAGGCAGTCTGCCCTCCAGTTCGGGTACTCTTTCCATCAATTTTTAATTGTGGGATCACGATTAAATTATATCAACAATTTATATCTTTATTACTTTTTATTTTATTACCTTTATAAAAAAATTAATATAAAATCTCATCCAAAACAGACGGGCAGAGAATCTGCCTCCGCTTTTTTTTTTTCTTTCTTTCTGTTGACGACAATGTCATCAGGAAATTGGCGGTAGATCTCAAGTCTCCTCTACACATATTTTTGTCAAAAAACATAACACCTTTTGTTAAAGAATGAATTTAGAATTTTTTTTCTTAAAACAATTTTAAAACAAAATTTATGTAGACTATTAATTTAATTATGAACATTTTAATCCAAAAATATTTAGATTCTGATAAATATTAAAAAATCACTAAATTAGAAACTCATGCAACTCTACGAAAGAATATGAGATACATAAAATATTTTTTTTTGTTTTCAATGAATTTATAAATATAAACCTAAAAAAAATACACATATATGGTTAAGCATCCCCATGAACTTTAAGAGGAATCATGAGCTAAATTTGCCCCATAAAAGAGTTTTAGGCTTTAATTCATATTTGCCTCAAGGGTTGGAGTAAGTTGAGGTAAGTTTAAAACCTAAAATTTGAGTTTTACCAGTAGGTCTAATAATTTGGTTTGAACTCAATATCGATGAGAAGCGAATGGAAAACCTCTTATTTACAAGTAAGAAAAATAATCATTAGACAACATTTTTTTTTAAGTACGACGATAGAGTTCAATAAGACCATCTCCAACCCTTGGGCTAAAAGCCAAATTTTTTAGCCCAGAAACATCTTTTCTGCTCCAACCCTTCTGCCCTAAAATTTTAGCCCGGAATTATTAAAGAATGAACTTAGGCTAATTTTTTTCTTAAATCAATTTTTTTTTAAATAAATATGTAGATTATTGTAAATTAATTTTATAAACATTTTAATCTAAAAAAATTTAAATTCCGATAAACATTTGGCATTTAGCCCGGGGGGAAAGCTGGGGGGGGGGGTATTTGGCCCAGAAATAGCATTTGGCATTTAGCCCGGGGGGAAAGCTGGGGGGTATTTGGCCCAGAAATATCATTTGGCATTTAGCCTAAAATTTTAACATGGGTTGGAGAGTGTTTGGGGGGGGTAATTTGGCTTTTAGCCCAGGGTTGGAGATGGTCTAAGGAAAAAGGTCATTAGTACAAAACTTTTCCACCACACAACCAACTAATTGATATACTTGTCAAATTTTAAATCTAAAACGAGTTTTGGAGATTCTCAAAATAGTTAAACAAGTCATGGTAAATTGCCTAACGAGCTAAACGATAAGTAACATTATTGCTTGGCGGCATACATGGGTAAAAGTTACTCCAATAATTGTAGATATTAGATGCTATGCATCTTCCACAATAGGTCCAATGAAACACAAATTGAGTGACATATCCTTCAACATTATAATAATCTAGATAAAGTTACTCTCGAAATTTAGATTATGTAAACCCATTTTTAACGCTAACACCAGACCTTCGATGGCAGCCAAAGGTTCAACTTGAAGCTGAGATGAGACATGGTTGTACTTTTTAACAAAGCCTGAAACAAAATGTCCATGGTCATCTCAAACCATTGCTCCAACTCCTCATAACCTAAGGTCTTCATTACATGCCTCATCCACATTCAATTTGTGCCGGCTTCCTCCGTCTCACCTCGCCGGAGTTTCTCCTACTCCAAAAACCCCCTGAGAATGGAAGTCGGTTTGGAAAAGTGACACGGACATTTGAAGGAGTGAGAAAATCCAAATTTCACGATAAATGCAAATGTTACTAGCACTCCCTTGCAGAGTATAAGGGTGATTTCAAAATGGTACACCATTTTTGAACACCGCTTACCAACTTATGCACAAATTTACTTTTGAGTTTTCATTTGCTCCTATAGTTCCTTGTGCACAAGTTATAAAGAGAACGACGTGCATCACGAGATAAGATCAACCATTTTTAACAAGGAAATATACTCGTATATTGCCTTTAAGAGTTTCTGACTCTCGATTAATGATGGATTATTATCATCATAAGGACTCTTCTCGGCTAATACAAATACTCCCTAGGGTGAACGTGAAGGGTGTTCCATAATATGCTCTCAGTCTATTGCTTGAGTTCTAATATCTTTACTGACTTGATTGACCGGTATCCCATTGGTAGCAAGGCTCTTTACCATTATTTGTTCTTGTTTACAAGTTTTCCGGAGTGTAACTCGGTTGTATATAGATGTGCGCAAATTTGGTTCAAACAATTATAATCTTTAAAGTAACAAATAAGAAACACATAACTGAGTGCTTTTTTCAAACTGCACTTCAAGTACTTTTGAAACTCAACAACGTTTTTATAATTAATTTTGATGGGTCTTGTTTTTAACTATTATGTGGTGGGTCTGTATTAAGAGATGAGTTAGGGAATCCTATTTTTGTTGCACCAAAAATCTTGCCTCAACCACAATTCTGGTGGCAGAGGTGGCTGGCTACTCTCATGGATGCTTTCAAGTTTGCGTCTCGAAGGAATCTCCTAGACATTTGGGTAGAGGGTGATGTCAAAGCTGGGGTTATCAATGTAATTTTGGATAAATGCTCGATGACATGGCGCCGCAAGACTGTTATTGAGGACATTTTGGTAAAATAATCACCTTGATTGCTTGGAGACATTATTTTCCTTTGAAAACCGGACTTACATTGACTTGGGCTGGGGTTCATATTTTTCTATCCAACCCAATCAAACCCGACCCGGAGACCCGCCCGAATTGTAAAAGGTTGGGTTACCCTTCCAACCCGGGCAACCAGCCCCAGTTGCAGGTTCATCCTTCAGAGAGGATCAGAGCGACTTGCAAATCGACTTATTGCTCATATCCTCCCCCATTGTTACAGTTCAGTCTCTTCTTCTTCGTCGTCGTCGTCATCGTCGGAGCTTTGTTTCCTTCTTCTTTCTCGCTCTTAATTTGTGATCTGGTTTCTTTCAAAATCCCGATTTCACGGATCCCTACAGGAATTGAGATCCTCTCCGTCGCCGAGCTTTGTTTCCGGTCAAGATCCTGTGAAATCAGTGTATACTGAGACCCACCCTTCTCCATCGCCGGAATCCTCGGCATTGCCGCCATAGCAATGGTCTAGAGACGATCAGCAATTATCAATTCGGAAAAACGATTTTACATTGTCATCGAATCTTCAGTGGCGGATCGATCTGGATTTGCCAACCACTTGCACAGAACAATCAATATGACTTATTTTGCAAGCAACGAAGAGGTAAACCTTACATTGCTCAATTTGGTGAAGCAAGAGCTTAATTAGAATGATCTGCTTCCTAATTTTACAAATATTGTGTTAAATTACGATTTAGCGGGCTTCGTGCGTGCATGCTTGCAGGGTCAGTTTTATGATATGAGCAATGATGATGCTCAGAAAGCGGTTTTCGATTTGGGTGCATTTGTTGGGGACTTGACTGTTGAGGAGGATGCAAGCAGGTATATGCTTCTTTCGAATTTGTACATAGTTGATAAATTGAATTCACATTGTCAAATTTTGGCTAACAGCTATCGGATAGTACACTAGGAATCAGTATTCACCCATGTATGAGTAATGCCACGCACACAAACAAATTTCTAACCCATAGACACGATGACACAGACTATCATGTATGATGCATGTTGACAGGGCTGTTTTTACAAGTACTGTGATAAACATGCCTGCAGAGGAACTATATGGAACTTTTTATTTTTATTATCTGTGTATCGAAATTAGGAGAGGTTTATGCGTGCAAAATTAAATTGATTACTTGAAATGCATGTGCGGCGCCACATGTTATGCTGAGTATGTTGATGACTAATGGAATAAATATTCTAGAATTGCAAGATATAGTTTGAGTGCATCATCTTGGTAATGATTCCATCGTAACTTTTCCTTCTCCTCTCAGCACTGATGATATTTCGTTAGAAGGACTGCAACAAGAATTGGAAGAATGTAAACACGATGATGTGAGTAAGATTTAAGTTTCTATGCTATTTAATGCTCCAATACATGGTTTCATTGTATTTCTTTTAATTGGTTTTATGTTTGTTGTGATAAGAGAGAATCGTCTTTTCTCTTTGTTTTGTGAATATGGTTTGTTCTAGTGAAATGTTCTAAAATGTAATTATCCGTTTCGTTGCATGCTACTAAGGAGAAGCATATGAAATCATGACACATGTAATGCCTGGAAGTAATTTTTTCCTGGTCAGAGAATGCATATGATTTTATTTATTTTTTGAAAATAAGCTAGTTAGTTCATAAGGATTCATGTGGTTGGACTCCTATCCTATTTTTATACTTATGTTGTGTGTAGTTTGTGTAAATAGTGAATACAGTAATTTCTTTGTACTTTCTTAGCTAATACTTGTGATGAACTACTCAATGCATCAATATTTCTTCTATCTATCTATCATCTGAATCTGATGTAGAAAGTTGGGAATATGTTGCCTTGTGTTGGTCACTAAAATGCATTAATCTTTTGACTATATATCATCTAATGTAGGTAGTTGCGAACATATTGTCTAAAGGCACAAAATTTCGGGAGCATACAAAGGGGGTTGAGAACAATATACGACAAGTTGAATTGGAATCGATCCAGGTTCTTGGTCACTCACATTCTCTTTACCATATTTTGTGCATTCCCTAGTTCATTTTATGTCTAAAAGATTAACTTGTAAAATAATATCTTTTTTGAGTTATGATAAGAGTTCCTTTTTACTGTTTCACTTTAGTAGCTTTGCTTGTGTGCATAAAATGTGCAAATAAGATAGTGTTAATGTTCCTGTTGAAATACGTACTTCCTTTAGCTTTGTGATTACAAAATTTACCTTGTAACAAGGTTTAATCATGGTAAACTGTTCTCGTTTTGGTTATGAAACATTTGTTATGTGTTCAAATCTTTTCAAGAGGTACTCCTTTTTCTTGGAAGATGCTGTGCAAATTTATGAAGGGTTAAAATTTTGGTTCCATCCTGTTGTGTTTTGGTGCAGTGTAAAATGATGCAGTCAAGTTTTCACAGTTTTCAGCATAAATGCTTCTTTTATGGTGCATGGTTATTAATTTTTTCTGAAAATCATTTGCCCATGGCTCACATGTGCTTTCCTGCATTAATGTTATACAGATAGTGGATAGGGTTCTGGGAATAATTAATTTGATCGTTAGAATCTTCCCTTTTGCAATACTGCAGGACTATATTAAAGAAAGTGATAATCTAGTATCTCTTCATGATCAAATTCGTGATTGTGACAGCATTTTGTCACAGATGGAAACTCTTCTGAGTGGATTTCAGGTAGATTGGTCCCTTCTTTGCCGTTTTACAATCATTACATACTTTCACCCACACAATGACTGTATCTTCTATTGCTTATATTGATGGAAAGACTTCTGGCTTCTCACTTATGTTTCCGGAAAATGTATTTAACGATGACTCTTTAGCATCAACATATTTGCCCAAATAAAAACTGTCGTCCATATCAGTATTTTGAGTCATTTTAGTTATACTTGCCGCAGTAATTTAAAGGGAAAAAGGTCATACCCAGTGCACAAGGCTCCCGCTTTACGCAGGGTCTGGGAGAGGTGAATGTCGGCTAGCCTTACCCCCATTTATGGAGAGGCTGCAGTAATTTAAAGGGAATGCATTAAAAATCCTTTTGTTTTTCATTTTAGTTATATTCTAAAATTCTAATTAGTGTATTCTTCTTGATTGTACAGTGTTTGAGTTTTGAAGGTGTTAAGTTAGATATACGGATTTCTTGTCCATCTTACATTTTATATATTTATTTTTCATTTTTTTCATTAATAAAGTATGTGTTTCTTTTAAACGGTTTCTAAATTTTTATTTTATCCCACAACTATGCTCGAAAAACAATACATCATTTCAGCTGTGATAGAACTAAAAAGCACATAAACTTCAGATATTATATGCCTTTTAAATGATATTCATTTTTTTTTCCAGTTCCTTTTACTTTGGCCTATTAATTTCATATTGGGTTTCCTCATGTCTTGTTGCTTAACCTTCTATTTTTTGCATTGAGCTTTTATTTTCTTTTCAATAATTCTTTTAAAAATTTGAAACAATTGCTTTTATTAAAGGGAGTTTTAACAAAACACTCCTGGTACTGTTCACTTTTAACGAAAAACCACATCTATACCTTTCCCTGGTACTATTTCACTATACCCTTAAAAAGGGCTTTTCATTAAAAGGGAGGTTTTTTTGGATTTTTCGTTAGTTTTCCTTTTATTAAAAGCATAAGCACAAGACTGGATACCGAGGAATCATCTGAAAAAACCGCACAACATGCAATCACCCACTCTACTTTAAATAAATACAACAAAATCGTAGAACTTTAAGGGGATTGTTTGTCAATTATCCTCCCCTTTAACATATGTTATATCAATATCATTAATACTTACAAGAATCCTTGTCCAGTCAGAGATTGGTTCAATAAGTTCAGACATCAAAATTCTCCAGGAGAAGTCTATGGACATGGGTTTGAAGCTTAAGAATCGCAAGGTATCATTTGTTTGTATAAAAAACTCTATGTTTTCACTTTTCTTGAGTTCAATTAACAACTAATCTTTTGAGTATTGATGAGGCATGCTCCTCTGTAGCTTGCTTGTTTGTGTTGTAAAATTGTTGGAATAATATCTATAGAAATTTCTTACCAGATTAGCAGATAGTATGGTATGTTATGCCCGTATATTGATTAAGGTGAAATAATGGTAGACATAGTTGGTCTGATTCTTATCCATAAGCTTCTTGTTTCTTATATAAATTACCGGTTTATGTTCACTTAACAGGTGGCGGAATCAAAATTGGCTAAGTTTGTTGAAGACATTATAGTCCCACCAAGAATGGTAGACATAATTGTTGAAGGCGAGGTATATCTTATTCCTTTAATTGTTAAATTTCTCCTTGTAATTGCAATATCATCATTTTTCAAGTTTTTTCTGTTCGTGTATGATAAAAAGTGCCATTATAATCTTGATAAGAATGTTTTCTCACAATCTCGACTGAATCATTTCTTAAGTGAAACTTAATATGTTCTTTAGTAGGCACATTGAATTTGTATTATGTTGTGTTGTCTTTCTTTCATTGCAGTTAACATGCTCAATGTGTCATTGTTATCCAGGTGAATGATGAATATATGAGAACTTTAGAGATTCTTAGTAAGAAGCTGAAGTTTGTAGAAGTAGATCTTATGGTTAAAACTTCAAAAGCCCTAAAAGATGTTCAGCCAGAGCTTGAAAAACTTCGACAGAAAGCAGTTTCCAAGGTTGGTACCTGAGTTGCCAGATAAACTGTCTGATATTGATCATCTAATTGCTTGTGTTATTGTATGTTCACGTATTGTACATGCCTGATCTATGTCAGCAGAACAGTAAATGCCTCTTAACATATACCATATAGGAGTAAATTCTAGTGTTCTTCCAATAAAATATTGGTTTTCAAATTGAGGGACCAAAATATTGGGTATAGTCTACGTGGCATCAAAATATTGGTTCTGTGAGTTTTCTGTGTGCCACACTGCCATGTCAGAAAACTAACAGAAATTTTGACGGATTTGGACAGCAGGGACTATACTGGTGTGCTGTAGTCAAATTAGGGACTACATTGATTGATTTTCGGCATAACAAATTGATGGACCATTTGTGATAAAAACCCAATGTTTAATTTGATCCATCCCATTTATAAAAGATTCATAACGTATGAGCTTTCATCTGTCTACATCTATCTTTCCACAGGTGTTTGACTTCGTTGTTCAGAAGCTTTATGCATTGAGAAAACCTAAAACAAATATCCAGATCCTTCAGCAGAATGTTCTTTTGAAGTACAAGTGAGTAGTTTCTTACAGTATTCTCAATTCTATTTGAGTTGGTTTTCATTAATATCACAAATTAATTTATCAAGTTCAAGTTGAATTCAGATCATTGAACCAACCCATTGACAGCCCTAGTTACAGATACTCAGGGTGGCAGCAACTATTAAGGATAATGTGTCTATTTACATGGGTTATTGGAGGATTCAGTTGGGAAAAAGTTATGTTGCTCATTATTTTGTTCCCTGAAATAATCTGATTCACTTATGAGTTTGATCGTACGAGATAAATCAGGCTATGAACTATTTGATTGTCTCATGAGTTTGAGATTAAGAGAAACTGGATCATACATTCTTAGTGTCTTTTTTATGTGTGCCCTACTATCCCTTTTCCTGGATTATATGTTTGTAGTGCTAAATGATTGTAAATGTAGTCTTCCTTGAGTTGTTGAGAGCAAGTTCTCAGTGGTGATATTGCTTCTGTATAAATACGGCATGCACTCATGTGCCAGTAATGTGTGACACGACTAAACGTAGGTATCTGTTAGATGTGCATGCTGTTTTGGGTTTATTTTGGGTGCCAGTGCTGTTATGTGCAATCAATTTGGGATGCCACTATCATCAATTCAGGGTATAAGTACCTGTTAGATGGGCTCTGTGTCCTTTCTTTCCATGAGATATGTATAGATATTGTTATCAGAATGATTTTGTGTTTTTTTTTATTGTTTATTATTGATTGATTCCAGCATGACAATGTAGGTATGTTGTTTCCTTCCTGAAGGAACATGGCAAGGAGGTATATATTGAGGTTCGTGCAGCATACATTGACACAATGAACAAGGTGAATACTTTAAAAATACTTTAAAACTGATGACCTGTCTTTGAATTATGATATTGAAGAACTAGAATACTGCTAAATGAACCATAGTTGCCGGATACGGGTTTGGTTCAAGTTCATGGTTCGATTCAGGTACAGAATTCGGTAGTAACCTAAAGTACCATTTGTCAGAGGGTACACGTAGACAATATGATATTGTCAGAGGGGACACATAGACAATATGATATTCAGTTCGATTCATTCTTAATACGTTAAAAATATAAATTAAAAATATTTATAATATACATTTTACAATAATATTTATAGTTATTGTAAACAAATATTTTTGTTTAAATTGATTATTTGTATACAAATAAAAAACAATTAATTCACTTAATTGTTTAGTCATAATAATATACATATTACATTAATATGGAACTTGGGAAGTGCTATCGGCCTCTGACTCTTTACTTCTTCTCTAAAAAATCAATACTCCAGATGGGACCCTCAACTAACACAATAAAAATATTAAAAATTACAATTAAACTTAATATTTTATCTCTCTTCCTCTCCCTCATCGTCTTCCCTCTACCTGACAAAAACCAAAAGCACAGAGCTTCTCAAAATTCCAGTTGTTTCCATCCTCTCTTCCCAAAAATTACAGCTTTTCTGTAATCTGATTAGAAATTATAGGAGATGGTTAGATGAAACACTGAATTCACCACCGAATCCAAAAAGGACTGGTACGTCCATACCGATACGGAATTCGGACGGGATTTCACCGAATCCGGCAACTATGAGATGAACTACCATACATAAACAGGTAATGTCACATGCTCATTGTCCATTTAGCTTAAAATGCTCTCTGTTTTCTTCTGTTATCAGTTCTGGATTAGGTGATTTTGATGTACATTTTGTTGATCTATAACACTTTCATCAAAGCCTAAGCTGTTTATAAGCTTCACAAATGTTTAATTTCAGGCAGTATCCTACTTCATCAAAAGCTTCACAAATTTATTTTCGGTTTTCCTTATGTCTTTTTGGCGCAACAGAAAGGTTGCTCCTTTGTGACCCAAAGGTCACGGGTTCAAGTCATGGAAACAGCCTCTTTGCAAAGCAAGGGTAAGGCTATGTACGATAGATGTTGCTCCCCCAACCCCCCACTTCCAGGTTGTAAACATTTTACAAAGCTTGTAATCTGCTAGTAAACATTTAAAAAGTGTGTAACCAGTACCCAAAAAGACAAAAAGGGTGACCCCAAGCCAACAAGACTCCCCGTTTTGTGAGGGTTGGGAGAGTAGAGAGTGGGAGTAAACATTTTACAAAGCTTGTAAAGAGGCTGTTTCCACGACTTGAACCCATGATCTTTTGGTCACAAAGGAGCAACCTTTCCATTGTGCCAAGGCTCACCCTCTCATTCCTTGGTACCTCATTTTAACATTTAATGTAGCTTTAGTAAAGGAGTAGGATAATTTATGCTATGAATGTTATTGTAAAGAGTAATTGATTTCTTTTCCCAAAGTTGGAAGAGCTCCCAAGTCTGAATCCACCTCTTCACATTAATAAAAAAAGCATTAATAAAAAAAGGGCAAAAAGAAAAAGGAAAACTAATGAAAAGGGCTTGAAAACTTTGAGTTTTAATGATAAGGACAAAATAAAGGGTAAAGTGAATAGTACCAGGATTGACTTTGTAGTGTAAAAATATGGTATTTCGTTAAAGTGAACAGTACCGGGTGCTTTTCGTTAAAGTTCCCAAAAGAAAATGGATAATCTATGTAGTATATTGGAGTTGAGTTATATGTTTTGCAGGTTCTCAGTGCACATTTCCGTGCTTACATTCAAGCACTTGAGAAACTACAGTTGGATATAGCAGCGTCTAGTGATTTAATTGGCGTTGAGACTAGGAACACTAGTCTCTTTTCAAGAGGAAGGGAACCACTGAAGAACCGGTCTGCTGTCTTTGCTCTTGGAGAGAGGAGAAAAGTTTTAAAGGTTTTGTTACTGCAACTAACTCGTTAATCCAATTTTAATACAAGACCATGGGAAAATGATATCTAACTGTAGCATCTTTGCGAAAAGCTTGTTTCCTTTTTTATATTTTTTTTTGTAAGAATAGTTGCCAAAAACTGTTGCAACCTGTGTACTTATTAATGAGACAGTGATTATTATGTTGAATGTTTCTGGATGAAGGTTACCATTTTATCCCACTATATTATGAATGTGACATTACATATTAGAACAGCCTGCAATATATGTTGAAGAATATAAAAATTACAAGATAGGCTGAAGCAACAGAGGAGCTCTAGTGTTATGTTGATCGTTGTATCATGACTCATGCCTTTTTGAATGAAGAATGATCAACATTTTAAATCAGTTGCCATAATCGAATTGACTGTAACTTCTTTGGTCCTGTTGGTTATATGATATTGAATGTCTTTGATATGGAAATTGTTGGGACCTTATAATGAGTATATCTTTAATAGTTTTTGAATGCTTGGAATTGGCTTTGTCTAAAAACAGGCAACACTGTAAATGTAGTGTATTGTGACAAATTACGTCTTTAATTGCGATATTTTTATAAGGATTGTTATACTTTGTCTTATACTCCACTTTTAAATGTCCAATTGGTATAAATGTGATAGATGATGGTTTTGTAATGGCAGCTAGTGTTAGTTTTCTTATAATGCCATTTTCTTTATATATCTTGCATGTAAAACATTTAAACATGTCATGTTTAAATTTTTGCTATCTACCAGGAAATTGATGAACCTGCGTTGATTCCACATATAGCTGAAGCCAGCTCCATCAAGTATCCATACGAGGTCCTCTTCAGGAGCTTGCACAAGCTACTTATGGATACTGCTACTTCCGAGTACGCTAGAGTTTGCCCTGCTCCTTGATAATGATTTCTAAATTGCTAATTGAAATTTGACCAAGGCTAGCCGACATTCACCTCTCCCAGACCCTGCGTAAAGCGGGAGCCTTGTGCACTGGGTACGACCTTTACCTTTACTGATTTGTTTTCACAATTTTCCCCTCTTATATGCAGGTATCATTTCTGTGATGATTTCTTTGGCGAACAATCCGTATTTTGTGAAATTTTTGCAGGTAAACATGACAGCTATTCTTGATTCATTCTGTTATGGTTAAACATTTGGCAATTGCATACTGATTATAACTACAAAGAGCATAAACTTCTCCCAAATTTTAAAGCATTCTACCAGTGGCTGTTAGATTCAGATGATCGATTTGGATCCTTGAAGACTGTCATTGTGCTTCTTTTTGAAAATTCAGCTTATTTTGACGACTTGTAATGCTTTTTAACGCCAGGCCCATTTTCTGTAATTGACGAACACTTCAATTCAATACTTCCAAATTGTTACGATGCTATTGGTGTAATGCTAATGATTTGCATAATACATCAGCACCAGGTAGTTATTATTCTAATGAGACCCTCAACCTGTGTTCTGTGGTGCATTTGCTTGAAGATATTCTATTTCTGATCTTTTTTTCCTTCCTTTGCAGCTCATTATGTCTAGGCGGCGTATTCCATGCTTGGATTCATACCTTGACAAGGTGTGTGTCGTGAATTTGTCTCTATGGTAATCATATCATCTGCATTCTGCATGTAACTTGTATTGTATTCATAGATGGTTGATGATATGTAAATGTTAAAGAGAATTGCGAATTGGTAGTATTGGTTCATGTTTCCTCAAATGGATTATATTGAAACTTGAAAGCGCACTTTGTATTGAGCTCTTATATCATAAATACATGTAACAAGAAAGCCGTCTGATTCTGAAACATTAACGGGTCAATATTAAACTATGGCCTCGTTTGAAGATGGTGTTTGACCTGCATCTGCATTCTGCATGTAGTTACTTGTATTCTTTGATGGTTGATGATATGTAAATGTTAAAGAGAGTTACAAATTGCTAGTATTGGCTTATGTTTCTTCAAATGGATCATATTGAAAGCACACCTTGTATTGGGTCTTATATCATAAATGCATGTAACGACAATGCCTCTGATTTTGAAACATTAACAGGTCAATATTGCCCTATGGCCTCGCTTTAAGCTTGTGTTTGACCTGCATCTAAACAGCATGCGGAATGCAAATGTGAAGACATTGTGGGAAGATGATGTTCATCCTCACTATGTCATGAGGCGTTATGCTGAATTTACAGCTTCACTTATCCACCTCAATGTGGAATATGGAGATGGGCAGGTTAGATGTAGAAAATGAACTTAAAACTTTATGCTCATTTAAGATTCTTGATCACTTCGTGGACTTAATTATCCATCCATGATTTGCAGCTTGAATTAAATTTGGAGCGATTGAGAATGGCTATTGACGACTTACTTATCAAGCTTGCTAATTTATTTCCAAAACCAAAGCTACAAACCGTGTTTCTGATAAACAATTATGATATGACGATTGCTGTTTTGAAGGTAAACTCAGTTTCTTGTTTCTTTTTTTCTTTTCAAAATTGAAATGAACGTCAAAGGATCTATATCAACATGAAGGTGAAATTTAAGTCTCTGGCAAAATTTCTGAACATGCTCAGTTGTATCAGTTTCATGCTTTGGTTGGTGCTGTTTCACAATTTTGGTCATTTGAACGCTAGGAAGCTGATCCAGAAGGTGGTAAAATTCAAATGCACTTCGAGGAACTTCTGAAAAGCAACACAGCATTATTTGTGGTAAGTGAGTGGTTGTGCTACCTATCTTGCAGATCATGTTTTGCTGCAAATTCAAGATTGAATTATTAGTCTGCAAATGAAGTTTGGATTTCAGCTAAACATTTTATCTTTCTAGTTCATTTCTGATATGGTACTTCAGTCTTGCTTGTGCATTCGTTACAAGTTTTCATGAGAACATAAATAGAAGCATACGAGGAGAATGGGATAAATAACACAATTGTATAGCCTCTTTGTTCTTTCTTCCCTTTACGGTATATGGTTTTGCTTTGCTTCTTTTGTTTTAAGCTTTCACCTCTCTCCTTGCAGGAAGAACTACTACTAGAGCATTTTAGCGATTTAATCAAATTTGTTAAAACCCGAGCTTGTAAGTATTTTGGTGAAGAAATGCTGTGGCATCTTCTATCCTTCTTGTTTTGTTTGTGCCTTTGCAAGCTTCTTGTCCGCTTTTGTTTTTTTATTGTTTGTTTGCAATAAAATTTTGCTTCTTCTTCAAAAATGTACTTATCTGCAATTTTCCTTTCAGCAGCGGAGGATCCAAGTGCTAGTTCTGAGAAGCCTATAACTGTTGCGGAGGTTGAGCCCCTCGTGAAGGACTTTGCAAGTAGATGGAAAGCTGCAATCGAACTGATGCACAAAGATGTCATAACTTCTTTCAGCAACTTCCTGTGTGGTATGGAGATCTTGAGGGCGGCGTTGACTCAGCTGTTGCTATATTACACAAGGCTCTCAGATTGCATAAAGAGGATTGTTGGTGGGTCTGCTCTCAACAAGGATCTAGTGTCCATATCGTCAATCATGTACGAAATTAGAAAATACTCGAGGACCTTCTAGGTTGTTTCGGTTCATATGGGTTACCTGCCAAGAGAAGGCTTGAGAGAAAGGGTGATTGCATGCGTGCCAACGTTGGAGGCTTCCAACAGACACAGTTTGTGTAGTGATTTTGTAGGTTTGCGTGAGATCTGAATTATACACCAAACGATTGAGCGCTGAATGAGGCAGTGGTTCGGTTAGGTTCTTTTTTTATACCTCAATGAACGAGGACTTTTGGGTTTTCAATGTGCTATGCTTGCCTATAACAAATGCAAAGACCATGTGCCCGTTACATGATTGATTAAACTAAAAGGAAATAGACTTGAAATGTAAAGATTGAATTTGACGAAGATCATGAACATTGAGGACTTTGCTTCTATTAAAATAACGTGACGTGATCTTCACAATATTAAAATAACATGAGATTTTCGGAACTGGTCGTCTACGTGAAAGCTCGGCCTGAGATCTAGTCTTGGGGCTCAAACTTATTTGTCCCTTAAAATGGACCCACGTCGTCGTTCAGTACTACAGTCTGGTGGTATTCCTCTTTACTTGTAAGTAAGAAGTTTTACGTTTAAATTTCGTGAATGATAAATTCGATACCAAATTAGATTGTCTACCTACATGGCGTAATTGGATTCCCCATCTTCTTAGTATCGCTGTACTTAAAAAAAAAAAAAGGCCCACGTCAAAAAGGATGGGACGTCATTTTCTGAGTGCGGATTGTCCAACTAGATTACATTTAAAGTGTGGATCAAGTAGGCCCAACTATTGCCACGTCATCAATATCAATTCAAATGACCCAAACCTCTTTTTTGGGAAACAAACTAACTTAACATATCCCAAAAATAATTAGGAGAATTAAAAAATATTAAAAAACACACAGCCTGGACCTTGACTAGTCCTGTCCCATTCCATCTTCCTGTGGGACCAATAATCTTCAACAACGGGACCCACATTTCGCCACGTTGCCGACCCTCAACTCTCTACCCGTGTGGTGTCAGGCGTGCAACTCTCTCTCTCTCTCTCTCTTCTGTATGTCTACATACTTTTGCATTGTGTTGCTTTGTGTTTGTTCGAATGTAAATTTTAAGCACTCTCTCTCTCTCTCTCTCTCTCTCTCTCTCTCTAAAACCAACGATGACAAATATAGCAAAGCAAAGCAAATAAAACCTACTCGGTTTCTTTCTGTTGTAGAAAACAGAGTGGGAATTGTGTCTGAGAGAGCTCTGCCTCTGTCTGTTCCGACGTCAATATCATTGGCTGGCTCATCGTAATTCCAGATCCTAAAATCTCTCTCTCTCTCTCTCTCTCCCTTTCTCTCTCTAGAATCTCCCTGTTGCTTCTCTGTCACGACCCACGTTTCAAGTCCCCAAAAGGGTAAATATTTGCAGTTCAAAGTAATAATCTTGGATGGCTTTCGTTGGAATTTACCTACTTGTTCTATTTATGGAACTAACCACATTGGCCACAGAAAATTTCGCTACTTACACACCCTCGCTCTGTTGTTCCCTTTCCGCCATTTGATTCCGTTCTGCATCGTTCTGCATTGCCTGATTCCCCAATTCACATTCTTTCTGCAGGTTTGATTCCTTCTCTCTCTAATTCCCACTGAATAAAAAAGCATTGGCCTTTTTTGAAAAAAAAAAGTTTCCTGCTTGGGGTTTATTTTGATTCATCGACATGTTTTCGATCTGGGTTTCTTGTAATTTGTGAATTTGGCTTTGGGGGATTCTTAATCTCAACTGGTAGTGTGAAGAAATACCCTCATTGGGTTGTTGGTATTGGTGGAGTTTTCTTGAATTTGGGGATCTGGGTTCTTTTGTGAGTTGTACTTTTATTGTTCTTGGTAGGTTTTCGTTTAGAAGCGTCAATTCGGAGATCTGGGTTCTCTCCCACTCCCATTGTCCTTGGTTGTAGAAATTTGAGTTGAACTGCTGTTCTTGCATTTCGTATTCAATAAGTAATTTGAAGGGTGTATTCATTAGATAGAAGTTGTTAATTGGAGAACTAAGTTATTGATCAGTTGATTCCGGAAGTGGTGACGCGATGCTGATCGGATTACATGCATTGGCTGCAAAAATCGCGGCCTGAGAAATGGCGTTTGGCGTTGGGAATTAGACGAATTTTGCAGTGTTCTTGTTGGAATAATAGGGGACTGCGAAGTAGAATAATGGGCTGCATTTGCTCAAAAGGAAGTTTATCCAATGAATATGTTTCTGAGAATCATCGTAGAGACAAAGAACATAAATCAAACAAGTCATCAAAACGGTCTGAAGCTGCAGTTGGGGCTGATGCAACTGCGCGGTTGATAGCCAATCCTTGCAAAGAAGACAATGCAGGGTCAACTCCTATTTCATCAGATGAAGGGGAGAAGATGGTGGATGCTGAGAAACCCACAAAACCCTTCACGGAGGGTGGGGCAAGTGGGGGAAAGTTGCCGTCTGGGCTGACTAGGATAACCAGTGTAACAAATGGAGAAAGAGGAGCACAAGTTGTTGCTGGATGGCCTTCTTGGTTGACAGCAGTGGCCGGCGAAGCGATCAGTGGATGGGTGCCTCTCAAGGCAGAGTCATTTGAGAAATTGGAGAAGGTCCGTTTGTTTGCTTTAATATCTTTAATCCTCTCGTTTAATAACATTAATATTACGAACCCTACATTTAATAATTTTCAGGTGTGCATATTTCATGTTTAGTGTAAATCTCTGATTCTTTTCGTTAAGTTTTTACAGTAAACTAAAACTTGGCATTTGTTTTGGAGTTGTGCTTTAAGTTTGTACAAAGAACATAATGTGCATTTAGTTTTGTTGTGACAAACACGTTTTAGAAAGCACTTAAATTGTCTGATTGATTTGCTTAAGTAAGATGGATGTTTGTAGGTGTTATAAAAGACCTACTCCTACATACAATAGTTTTTTGTTTCTAAAAGATCTATTTGCTTGCACATTCTGAGAGTAAAGTTATCATACATATAACCATCGTAAAGGGGATCATATGCACTCGTACTTTAAAAAACTAACGAAGTTAGGTACATCTGACTGGGCTATTTAGCTGCAACTATTAATGGATCTCATCTATGCTCACTTTTTCATTGATACCTTGTTTGTGGGAACCACATGAAACCAAGACGTTTGAAACTTGTTTGTACTCTTCTCTCTTGTTGGTGTCCTTATTAAGGACATTTTTATTTTAGTCCCTTTTCTTTTTGTAATTCTTTCTTTACTGTATATAATGCAGATTGGACAAGGAACTTACAGCAGTGTGTACAGAGCCCGTGATCTTGATTCAAACAAAATAGTTGCATTGAAGAAGGTGCGATTTGCCAATATGGATCCGGAAAGTGTGCGATTTATGGCGAGAGAAATTCTTATTTTGCGTAGGCTTGATCACCCCAACGTCATGAAGCTTGAAGGTCTGATTACATCGAAGGTTTCGGGCAGCTTATACCTGGTCTTTGAGTACATGGAGCATGATCTTGTAGGGATTGCAGCACGACCTGGAGTCAAGTTCACTGAAGCACAGGTCTTTGCCCCTTCTGATCTTATTCATTGAGACCGTAAAGAAATTGTTTTACACTTTTTAGGTGCTACAACATGCTAACTAAAAACTAACGCATCATAGCCAACTCTAGTGTATCCATGAAGTGAGAATATCTGAAACAGTAATATAAAACGAATAGAAAGACCATAACCCTGAGGAAAAAGAAATTGTTTAGCTTTTGAAGAAATATTGTTTCTTATCAAGACTGCCCTTGAATGGTCTGTTTTTAGCAATATGATCCATGCATCTAATGGTAGTTGTGTTAATTTTCATGATCTTATTTTTATCATAGTAGCAGGATGTTTGACTCATCTTTTCTTGTAGTTGATACATATTGTTTGTGCACTGGGTTGCAGATTAAATGTTACATGCAACAGCTTCTTTGTGGACTTGAGCATTGTCACAGTCATGGTATCTTGCACCGTGATATCAAGGGATCAAATCTTTTGATTGACTACCATGGCAAGCTAAAGATTGCTGACTTTGGACTAGCAACCTTTTACAGACCCCGTCAAAAGCAGCCTCTGACAAGCCGGGTAGTAACCTTGTGGTACAGACCACCTGAACTTCTGCTTGGCTCTACAGATTATGGGGTTGCTGTGGATTTGTGGAGTGCTGGTTGTATTCTTGCAGAATTATTTGCTGGGAAGCCTATCATGCCAGGAAGAACAGAGGTATTTTTCCAGCGTCTTATCCGCACCTAGAAATATGTGTATATATCTTTATGTCCACTTGCTTTTCGTGTATTAGGTATGAAAAAACTCTAGAAATCCAGTCATCCTAAAATCCTAACAGCAACCTTCTTAGAATTTAGTATCATGTGTGTGAATGTGTTATGGATACGAGAGGGGAAAATATGTGTTTGATGACTGGTTTTGTTAGAATGGTCTTAAATAGGTCACAACAACTGTGTTGTTCTTTGTTTGTTTCTTCCCACCACTAATTGATAAAGATATGTGCTGGAACTTAGAATGTAAGCATGAAGAGTTTAAGGTTTATACTACTCAGATGCAACTGTAGTTGTTCAAGAACACGAGCTTGCTGTTTCGCTGATACAAACGTATTATGTAACCAGATTCTAATGACTGTCAGATGATGGATGAAAGCATACGGAAACTTTCTATGAAAATAGTCTAGTAGGTTAAAACATATATGGTACATTGTATGGTTAAATCCCTTATGCTCTAATCTACCAACATTTTATGGGTAGTCCCTTATGCTCTAATCTACTAACATTGTATGGTTAATCCCTTATGCTTTAATCTACCAACTGTACCAGTGGAACTATCAGACATCTTATTTGACTTTGATGAGATCTCGTTGTTTATTATTTACAGGTGGAGCAACTACATAAGATATTTAAACTTTGTGGCTCACCTTGTGAGGAATACTGGAAGAGATCAAAATTGCCACATGCAACTATTTTTAAACCTACACATCCATACAAGCGATGTGTTGCTGAGACATACAAGGACTTCCCTCGATCTTCATTGGCCCTGTTAGAGGTTCTTCTAGCTGTAGAACCTGAAGGTCGGGGAACAGCTTCTTCTGCCCTTCAGAGTGAGGTAATCATGGGTTTTCTTTGCTTTTTGAAACCATGCTGTCTATTTCCATTGAATTTTGTGATCTTGTCAATTTGAAACAATTTTGGAAATTAGATCTTACCTCTGATATGTTTTTAATTATTTTCGTTTCCCAGTTCTTCACATCTTTGCCTCTTCCCTGTGATCCATCAAGTTTGCCTAAGTACCCACCAAGTAAGGAGTTTGATGCCAAGCTCCGAGACGAGGAAGCTAGAAGGTGAGCTATTTCCAAATCGTATTAACTAAT